GTGGTGAAGGTATGGAGGAATCAGTACTTTCACACATGGTAGATTTTGAAGGTATTTTGGCGATTCCAAGTCTGGTGGGTGGGCATGGCACTCAAGGTCCACTCCAACCTCCTTTTAATGATTTCCTACATTGCAGAAGCCTTAAAATTATAAACTACACTTCCCGGGCTCTCTTAGAGCAAGATTTCTGGATGTGAACTGGATTTTGCTAATGGCCTCAGTGTGAAGAGGGGCAGTGCTCCTGTTGGCAGACACTGCTGGTCCACAGTCTACACTGATAACTAAACTCTGCTGCCTCGTCTCCACTCTGTGAAGGTCTCTGGAGCAGTAAAACTCTGCACAAGTTATTTAGCACTGCAACCTTCCTTCTGTTGTTTCAAGTGCCCCAGATGTACCGCTCCCCTGTGATTATGCACTGAGCCTTTGCCAGCCTGGGAAGAAGCAACAAGGGATTGGCTGATACAGAAGGCTGGCTGAAATGCAGGTTCTTAGGCCAGATAAGGTGCAGTAGCAGGGCCTGGATGGCTGATAACATGATTATTTCCGGGTGTTTTTCTCAGGAATACCTAGGCCTGTCCTCATTATATGGGGACTTACCTTTCTCAGGGATGTTGTAAAACCTTTATGGTAGACCTTTGTTATACATACCAGGCAAATCCTTCCTGTTTAGCTAAGGTCAGAGGCTAGCCCTCCTACCTTTTTTTATCCTTAAAAAAAAAATCACATCACCCTAATTGGCTTTTGATCCTCTCCACACCATTGCTGGCTCACGAAAGCAATTTTAAGAAATTTAAAGACTATCAAACATTCACTATTGTAGAAATTGTATTGGGTTGGCCAAAAAGTTCGTTTAGTTTTTTCCTGGATGATGGCTCTACTAGTGCTTAGTTGTCTTTAACTTCATTTGAAACAATTTTGTTAGATTGTATTCTGACAGCTGCCATAGTGTCATCACATCATTGTGCATTTTTTAAAGACTTATCAAAATTGGATTTTTGTGCAGTCATTTTAATGCTAAAGATGAGAGAAAATATACATTTTCAGTATATTATGCTTTATTATTTTAAGAAAGATAAAAACACAAATGGAACAAAATTTTGTGCAGTGTGTGGAGAAGGTGCTGTAACTGATCACATGTGTCAAAAGTGGTTTGCAAAGTTTTTTGGTACTACTGACATTTTAGCCAAATAAATCTTTGCTGTAGGGTGTCTTATGTATTGGAAGATGTTGAGCAGCACTCCTGGCCTCCGCCCACTGCAAGCCGATGTACTCAAAATATCTAAATCAATAAAGTTATTGGTAAAAATGGAAAGTGTGTCTTTTATTTTCTGGAAAAAACTAAACAGACTTGTTGGCCAACCCAATACATACGTGTTCCGTAAGTCCCACACCCTCCAAATACTGGTGGTAAATGAAATACGGAGGTGGCTTCCATCTGAAACTTTCCCATATCTTCCGCCTCTCTCCCCTTCTGAATATTCCCTCTGTACCTGGAGCTCCGCCTACCCCAACTGCTTGCAGGACCTGCCCCATCAGTGAGCCTTTGCTTTCTCACTGCTCCAATTTCCTCCTACCACTGGATCCTTCTCCATGTCTCACCTTTCCTACAAAAACTGTTCTGTCAAACTACCTTCTTATGTATCTCTTTTTCTTCACCACTTGACACATCCAAAGAGCAGAGACCCGCTCAAGTCCCACCATCTCCCCAATCCCGTACTCAGCCCTGACCTTCTGGTATGGGATCCAATAGCCTTTCTTCAGTTCCCACCCCCTACCTGCTTGCTTTAAAACAAAAACAAAACAAAAAAAAATTACAACATAAAAGAATATGGACAATAATATGGTGGAGTACTAGGGAAAGATTAAAATAACAGTTCACAAAGTTTTTAAGAGCATTAGGATATGCTTACAATATAAAGTTGCGGGGTGGGGGGAAACTGCATCTATTGCATCATCTCAAATATATACATTTAAAAGACTAGGAGGAAAAAAAGCAGTGACTTCTGAGTAGTGGAATTATAAGTTATTTTTGTTTTCTCCTTTACTCGTGTATTGTACAATGAGCCTTAAAAAAACCTGGAGGAATAAAAGGGACATTTCTCTGGTTTGCCACCTGCTCGTAAATTCTAGCAACACCACGGTTAAGTTGGATTTAGTGCCTGACCCTCCCTATTCTCATTGCTTGAACTTCCTTCACATCTAGTTCCCCCTTTTTCTTTGGCCTGAGTTTGGTCATTTCTTTTCCATTTTGTAATTTCTATTTTTGTAAATACTTTCTTGGTAATTAATATATGTCAGGTCCTGGCTATTTTAAAATGTTTACAATTCTTACTGATTTGTATCTCTTCCCTGGATTTCTGCCTGATAAATCTCAGGAATAGACTGTCACAGTAGATCAGTTGCTTTTTCCGGACCAGCCAAAAGCTCTGAGGAAGCGACTCTTAGTTGAGGCACTGAACCCTGGTGAGCGTGCAGGTGTGTTCTCTGGAGGGGAGACTCCATGAGCCACCCATAGCAGTCAATGCCCTTGGTCATGTGGGTGGGGGAGCTTGGAGCTGTGTGGAGGATGGATTTGAAGAAAACAAGATCGAGAACAGGAGGAACAGTTAGGAAGCTGCGGCTAACAGTGGTCTGGACAAGAGTCTGAGAGCTTGCACCAGGGAGTCTTAGTAGGGCTGGAGCGGAATAGACTGGCAGGGCTTCCTGCTGGAGCAAGAGTCAGAGATTCCTGGTTTTCAACCTTGGTGACTAGGTGACTTGCAGTGTCATCAAGTAGGGCCGTGGACATAGGCACACATGTAAGCAGGTTAAGGGGAAACTTAGGTTTTGAATAAATTGAGTGTGGGACAATTTTAGAATGTCTGTATAAAAAAGGTACATCAGACAGCAGAAAATAAAATTAGAGACTGGAGTGCCACAAGTACTAGGGTGCAGGTGAAATGGGGAGAATGGATGAGATGGTTCTGGGAGCATATGCAGAATATGGACAACAGTAAGTTGGAGATAGAAGCAGGCACACTAGCATTTATAGGACAGGCCCTAAGAGAGGCACTCCTTATGGAGAAGAAAAAGGAGAAGTCAGAAAGAAAATTCCAGGAGAGTGATAGAACAAGCTTCCAGAAGGTGGGAGTGATGGGTAGTTAAACTGAATGGATCAGTAACATGAGGGTTAAAACTCTATTACTTTATTTGGTAATTGGGAAGTCTCTAGTAACCTCATAGAGAAAAGCTTTGTACAGAGCAACAGCCAGGCTGGACTGCAGTGGGTGGAGCAGTGCCTATGAGTGGATGGAACTGAGAGTAGCCCCTTTACAGGATGCTGGGTGAGAAAGGATGCTTGGGATGGAACAATAAATAGGAGGGGCCGCACTACGCAAGGGCCAAGGGATAAAATGAGATCAAGGTGCTCGGCACAGAATCTAGGACATAGTTAAGTGTTGAAGAAACATGACTTGATATCATTCACTTGTTGATCATATAATAATCTCAAATATTACAATGTGCCAGACTCTGTTCTGGGCCTGCAGATTTAGTAAGTAGAGAGCTGACATTCTAGCGGGGAGACAGGCAAGAAACAAGATAAATAACTCAAAATTTATAGTATACTTGATAGTGGTAAGTGCAAAGGGAAAAAAACTAAAGAGATATAAAATGCTGAAGAGGAAAACAAAATTTTAGATTGGGTAGCCTGGGAGGGCCTCACTGAGGTGACTTTTAAGACCTAAAGAAGTGAGAAAAATATAACTAGAAGTAGGAAATAATACTAATTATTATCACTATTGTCATTAGCATTCTTAATACATTTTACAGTAAGCTTGTTCCTATTATCACTACTAGCTTTGCCACAATTGATGTTATTATCATTACTGCCATCTCTGGAACTCCTGGGAACAAACATGTAATCAGATAGTCTCTCATTGCTGCTGGACGGTGAGCTAGTATGAGTGGCTACAGTAGAAGCAAAGCAGAAGCTGTGAATGGGTCTTGTGCATAGTCATTGGATATTAACAGCTGCTTCACATGGATGCTGAGCCGTTGAGGAAGCCAGCACTAGGCTGTTCTTCTATCCCACCTGCACATGACAGGACTGTCTTCATAACCAAAGGGCAGAGACGCAGACATATCTAAAGCCACAGGAAATGTAACTGCAGCTTGAATCAGTGCAGATGCAATGTATGTGACGCAGAGGTCACGAGACAAGATTATATAATCAAGTTGTGTTACTGCCAGATGTTTATTTGATTGTTGGGGACAGGACTCAGCCAGTAACATCTGGGAATAATTAAGAACTGGAATTTCTGGCTGTCCACCCAGCCCAGTACACCTCCAAAAGTAGCTCGGTGTGTGACAAGTTCTTAAGGGACTACCCTGAACAAGGGGATTAGGCCTTGCTTGTGATGGATGCATTCAATCTTTCAACAGATTGACTTGGACTGACTACTGTCCTCTGCAATTCAGAAAAAATTACCCTAAAAAAAAGAAAAAGAATCCAAATGCCTGAGGACTCATCCTATTTACAATGTTTAATTTGCTACGAATTTTTTTAAAAGGTACAACATCAAGTGTTCGTTCCTTCATAATCACAGGTTTCAGTGGCAGATGGCATGGGACAGGAAATGTGACCCACAGGCTTTAACAAAAAACCCCATTCCTCAACTGAGGTAATAACAGAAGAGTTTTGAAAATATCTTAGATGCATCTTTTAGGTGTATTTATTATCCCAAGGGAATAAATACAGAACTCGTCTAATAAAAAAAATAATCTCAAGATCAAAGAATAGCTTAACTAGCAGTGCTTAGAATATAGAAACATTTTCATTAATTCCTTGCAAATGTCTGTATAAATAAAACAGATTATAAGTATTTCTTTCCTGGCTACCAAACTAAGTTAAACTTGTTCCTACAACCAAGAAAATGCCTATGAAAGAAAATAAATAGACCAATTATATATGGTTCAAGCTAATAGTAATCTGTTATATTTTTAATATTATTATTGCCTTACCATATAATATTTACTATAAAACATTTCACATATACACATATATATATACAATATAATACAGTATACATATATAGGTATTATATTCACACACATTACATGCTTCTCTAAGGAGCCCAGACACTGACTTCACAAATACCAAGTCTCCTTGAAGGCCACGATGAAATGCGGGTAAGGGGAGATTCTGAGTGTGCCTGCCCTCCAGCTAGGAAGCCAGTGTCCACATCTTCTGTGAATCTCAGATGCAGTGGAGAGTGCAGGAGGCTATACGAAGACTTCATTGAACCTGGTTGACTAGCTGCAGCATTTAAGTTACCATGAGTTTTATGCCTTTGTTTAGAAACACCTTCATGCTGTCGTACTGTGGCTAAAGCGCTGAAGGATGTCTGCACTCCGTGTGAGCTGCTGCGCCAGGGTGCCCGTGAGGTCTGGAGAGTCCCTCAGCCCAGACCGCAGAAGAAACTCGATGCAGGCCTCGTGCTGACCCGCGCAGGCCAGGTGCAGGGCTGAGAAGAGACAGAAGCCATGTGAACTTGGTGCATGACCCCCAAAGCAATACTGACCTAGTCAGTTGCTCTTAACAAAAATATTCTTTCAATTGTACAGGTTTTATATTTCCATAATCCATCTGTATGACTTTGCCTATACAAGATCAAAACATTTTCCCTTTTAACCAGATCGGATTGGAAATGGCTTTAAAATAGTAAGACCGACTGGAAAGGATTTAAGAACCTTGCCTAAAACAACAAAGCAAGTTTATGAGACATAGACTTTAAATGGTATAGAAAACATTTTCAAAGTTTCATGAAATCTCTGTGTAAGTAAAAATATTACCATGAATAAGAATGATGTGACCAAACCCTCCACCCCGCCAAATGCAATAAAACAAAAACATCTGACAAATCTTCCTGTTCTGGTTAGAAATGGGCACTGAAGGCACCCTGGCTTCTGTTTTCATCTTTGGGAGAAAGTCTGTGTCCTTGAATTTAGTGACCATCCTCTGTAGCCTGAGAGTGAGTAGTTAATTATCTATGAGGTTTTGTTCTTTTTAAATCTCTGAGTCTTTGAAGCACCATGAAGCTCCCACTAAACTCCTGAAGAATGATGCACAGAATGTTACTGAGGTTACTAAACTCAGAGTTTAAAAGATTAGCTCTCAAAATATCCTTTTGAGCCCTAAATTGAGAAAATTGTAATGGCTATAGTTTTTAAGTATACTTCAAACAGATTACCTATGAAGAATCTATAGAATGAATACCTGGATAGCTGGTAACATCATGGATGAAAATAGAAAGTGCTTTTATGCCACATATATTTTTGCAGTTTAAAATAATAAAAACAGTAATAGTAACAGCAGTAGTAATGAGTGGTAGTCATCATTGCCATGGTAACAGTAACAGTTCTATGGCTTTGCAAACAGAGATGTTGTTTTAAAGAAGTTGCTGAGCTAGTATTAGAATATTAAAACCGATGTTTTTAGCCCTGGCCAGGTGTCTCGGTTGGTTGAAGTGTCATCCTGTACACCAAAAAGTAGTGAGTTCAATTCCCAGCCAGGGCACATACCCAGGTTGTGAGTTTGATCCCCAATAGAAGTGCAATTGATGTTTCTCTCTTTCTTACTCTCCCTCTCTCTCTCTCTAATCAACAGAAGTATCTTCAGGTGAGGATTTAAAGAAAAAAATGTACAACCTTAGAAAAGAAAAACATTTTTTAAAGTCCATGTGTTGTTTATATTCCATTGACTGATAATTTCCAAGGCACAAAGAAGTCGTACCTGATCGATTTCTTTCATCTTTAGAGTTGATGTCAGCACCCAGGGATATGAGCATCTGAACTGTGCTCACATGTCCTTCCTAAGGGTTGAAATAAACTCGTTACCACTGTGACAAGGACCTTTAAACATAAACACTAATGTATATATTAGGTCCTTTCTCTAAAATACTCAACTGCTAAAACTGATTTTCATATCTAAAGGAAAACTCATTATATCACCCTCAAATTAAAGAGAGGTTTTGGTGATATTCAGTTATTAGAATATAGATGGTCAATTTTGTAGGCCAAACTATCAACTAAAACAGTTGGATTTCCTTCAGTGTAATGAGTAGAATTATTGTGATATCTTGTGAACACACAACTCCAAAATTATCCCAAGCACATATACTCTTTGCTAAAATATTTAGGGCAGAAATAAACTAGAAAAAAATGGTCACCTCTCCTGGATGGGACTCTCATCGTAGCTGGCATTATCATTCATGAGGCAATTCATACACTTTCTGTCTAGCCAGTTAGTCTGTTAGTATGTGGTGAGACTAAAGTCAAGGTTGGAGGTTCAGTCTTCTATGGATGGACCCACCAGCTTCCTACTTCCCTGCCCCCATGGCCACAGACCACACTGATAGCCCACCCTCGTTTATCTATCTACTTTCTCATAGGGGAATGCAGGTAAGAATGTGTAGTTCACCAGAAAATATTTACTCTTGTTGCTAGAAAAACAAGTAAAGGCAAGTAGCCAATCATGTTAGAGAAAATAAACAAAAGGCTTTCAGCATTTAAACGGGAGGATATAAGCAGCTATTTTTGTAGTGAAAACTTTTTGCATGTGTTAACTATTTTATACATTAGAGAGGCCAGTAAATGCAATTCCCTTACCTCAGTTAAAGAAATTTTAACTTCTGAAATCTACCATAAGGATAGAGAGCTAGGAATTTGATACAATGGAATTTTACAGCTTCAAATAACACCATTCTTGATTACAAAAAAAAGGGCAGAAGGAAACAAAGTCCAGGCATTTTATGGAATAAAGGGTGTTTTTGGTTTCTACCTAGCAACCAATAAAGGCAGGTTTCTATTTAAAGGGACACAGGGCTTCAGACCATGAACATTTCAGGAACATATCGTGAGCAATTTCTTCCACAGAGGCGGAGCCAAAGGAATAGAACTGTGGAGCTATTTATCAGTGGAGTAAGGCAAGCCTAAGGAAGCAGGGACACCCTTACGAAAAGAAACAAACCTTAGCTGCGTAATGAAGTGCTGTGAGGTGGGTCGATGTTGCTCTCATGTCTACATCAATGCCAAGTTCAGAGACCAAAAACTGGATGGCTTCACTCTGCCCAGTGACTGCTGCCCTGTGTATAGCCTGGGCCCCCAGGGAATCCTCAGCAGAAATGCAAGCCTAGTAGATTGGGAAGAGATAGGAACAAAAATAAGAAGCAGAGAAACCTGGGTCCATGGCTCTTCTGACATTTTAGGTAAACTTTGGGGGCTATGTATGTTTTTCTGGGCCAATGTGTTATAGCTTTTGTTAGACTCTTAACAAAAGAGTTAACAAAGACCCTATAAACAAACAAACAAACAAAAATGGTTAAGATTCAATGCTTTAAAGCAGGGGTTCCCAACTCCTGGGCCATGGACTGGTATTGGTCAGTGGCCTGTTAGATACCCAGCCACAGGTGAGCGAAGCTTCGCTTGCCTTACCACCTGAGCTCCGCCTCCTGTCCGCCCTGGCTGTGGAAAAATTGTCTTTCACAAAAGCAGTCCCTAGTACCAAAAAGGTTGGGGACCAATCCTTTGATCCCCAAAGTACAAAAATGTACTCAGTGGGGAGTTGGTTGTTTTTACTATAAAACAGCTGTTTATTGAATTCTTACTTTGCTAACTGCTTTATATACATCATACTATTTACTTATTAGAGTAACCCTCTGAAGAATTTATATTTGTTGGCATCTTACAGATAAAAATACTGATGCTTAAAGAGGTCAGGAGGTCTCACAGGGGGACCGTGGCAGTACTGGGATTTGAACCCAGGATATGACTATGATTTCTGTTTATCCTATGACCTAAAACTCATATGAAAAACCGAAGGAATAAAATCAAACCATTGCTGTACCTTATGTCTTTCAAGGAGCAGCCTGGCTGTGTTGATGTGCCCGCACTGAACTGCATCCATAAAGGGTGTGAGGCCACACTTGTCTCTGCAGTCCGGTTCATACTGACACCTAGAGCCCAAACAGAATATAACAGACCTGAGAAAAGCCACTGCTTCAAACCCAATGGACAGTTGACTCTTGAACACCTGCAGTAGGTGACATGCCCTACAAATGATCTGTGAAAATCTGGAGCACTCTCCCTCTTTCCCCATATCTCAATATCAGAACTTAGCTCTTCAACACTGTCAATTTCACGCAGTAAATCTGCTCCTCCTCTAACCTCTGTCATCCCACATTACGGACTAGCATCTCTCCAGCTTCTCTTGCCAGAAGCCCTGAAGTCATCCCTAAGCCCTCATAACCAATATATGACCAAAACCTCTCAATGCTGCATTCAAAAAAAATTTTTTTAATTGTGTCTTTCATTCTATGCTTTCACCCCTTAAGACAATAGACAAGAGTCTCCTGACCATTTTCCTCACCTTGGCTTCTGCCTTGCTAATCCATTCTCACAGCTACCAGAATAATCTTTTCACCATACGATTTGGGTATAGCCTCTCCTGTTAAAAACCCTTTCCGGAACCAAAGCACAAAACCTGGAACCTCAGCATGACCTCTGCTGGCCAAGACAATGTGGCACCAACTTACCTCTCTAGGTTTCTCCCACTGACATACCTACCACCCTGTGCGTACAGCACACTGCCTTCTTCCTGGTGGTCCTTTCTTCTAGGTCCTGCTTATTTCCTGGTCCTCCCTGTCCTACCATCTTCTTAGTCCCACCTCCCACCTGTCCTATCTTCTTACATTTCTACGTTTCTTACCATCCTACCTGCCCCACTGGCTTCCTGGTCATAACCTTTCTTCTTCTGGGTCCCACCTTCCCTTTTCCCATTCCTACCTTCAACCTCCTGTCTTATCTTCTCAGTCTCACCTCCCATCAGTCCAATCATCTTCTCTTCCTACCTTCTTCATGGTCCTGCCTTTTTCCTGCTCTCTCACTTGCCCATCTCTTTGCCGCCTTTGCACTTGCTGATCCTCTTCGCTTAGAACACTATTTCTGCATTCTTCACTTGGCAAACTCCAGCTCACCCTTCAAATCATGGCTTCAATGTGACCTCACAGAGGCCTGTCTTCTCTCCTGCGTCAACAGTACCCATGCTTCCTTTACCATGGTATATTTTTTATTTGTAGTATTACAGGTTTTCCCTGCTATCGGAAAGTAGAGTATTCCTATGAAATCAATGAAAGCCAAAATGGTGTAAAATGGTACCTCCATCTTTCTGAAAGTTTGCATTACAATATGCCACTTCACTTTTATGAAAGACCTACATTAGTACAGTAACAGTTTTTCTCATAAAAGTGAAAATCCTTTTCAGATTTTTTTGGTTTGTGAAAACAGGAAGTAACATGGGTCTTATGCAGAGGCAAAGTGGGATAATGCAAACTTTCAGAAAGGTGGAGATACCTGTATTACCATTTATAATTTTATGGTATTTATTTCTCTGATTGTTTATAATTGGCTTCCACACTAGCCTATAGGGAAAGGACTGGTTTGTTTTGCTCACCACCCAGCACCTAACACATAGGAGGTGCTTAAAAAAAATGTTTGTTCAATGAATTATTTATAAATTTTCAGACAACCAAGTATGTTTCAACTTGCAGCAGACAAGCCCTGCACATAAGCCGTGCTTTCGAGATACTGCATAAGTTCTCTTCTCATCATACAATATGTTGTCTTCTCAGGTAATCTCTTCTGCTCCTATGAATTCAATCATCATTTCTATGTTGATGAGGCCCACATTTGTATCTCAGCCCATGTCTGTCCTTTGGGCTTAGTATCTGTGCCTCTAGCTGCCCCCCTGATGTCTTTGCTTGGATGTCTCACAGATACATGCAACTCAACGTGTCCCAAAATGAAACTGTCATCTGCTCCCACAAAACCTGCTCCTCCTCCACTGCTCTCTACCTCAGTAAATGGCACAAGCACTGTCACACCAGTTGCTTAAGTGAGAAACCTGAAAGTCATCTGACTTTTCCTTCTCCCTCATTTGTTTTATTGAATTATTCCCCTAGATCTATTGATTCTACTTTAGTATTTCCAAATCTTTTTTTCATCCCTACAGTCAGCTTCTCAGTCCAGCTACCATGATTTCTCTCCTGTTTAACTACAATAGCCTCCCACCAACTTTCATAGCACCCACTGTTGCTTCTCCAATTCATTCTCTATTTTGCAACCGGAGAATCTTTGAAAAATGCAAATTTCTTACCACCCACCTCCAACGCTTAAAATACTTCCGTGGAATCTTACATGCTTAGGATAAAACCTAAAACCTGGCCTTCCTCTCCAGCCTCACCCTGCACCATTCTCTCCCCACCCCGCCACCCGCCACCCGCCAAACTATGGGCTTCAGCGTATACTGAACTTCTTTCATTTCCTTACATGCACTGTTTTTTCCAGGCTCAGAGCATTCCTGGGTACTGTTTCCTCGGTCTGGAATGCCCTCCTGCTTCCTACTCTCTATCTCCTTCAGGTCACAGTTTAAATATCACTGGCACTGAGATTCCTTACTCCTAGGCCTAGTTGTGTCTTCCTGTCATATGTTCCTGTAGGGGTCCTGCAATTCCTTGTAATGGGCACTAGACTAGCATGACGTGTGCAGTGTCTGTGACTTCCATGAGAGGGAAACCACGTTGTCTCATTTCTATTGCAGCCCCTGCATCTGGTACAATTCATAATAGGTACTGAATAAATAGATGAATATTGTTGAATGAATAGACAAATAGCTCATGTTTCTTAAGCTATTTTTGTTTTATATTCTTTATCTGCTTATGTCCTTTGTTCATTTCTCCTTTGGTGCCTTAATTGCTCTATGAACAATTTGCTTGAGCTCTTCATGTAGCATCGATATTAACTGTCATAATTAGCAAGTATCTTCCTCCATTTTGTTTTGTTCTTACCTCTGAAGAAGCACCTTTACTGCCTCTAAACAGCCATGCATTGCTGGGAGAAGAGAGTTGAGAATTAGAGCTTTTAGGTGGACACGTACAAGGCTTCTTTCCTCCTGGCACCAGTCTCTGTCCCATCTCTTTAGCTATGACTTACAGGAAGGTATAATTATATTAGGTACATTAATAAAAATTTGGCTGGATAACTGATAAAGAATGTTGTTAATGAATAGGTTCACAGCCAAAACTGATTATCTTGTGTTTTTGAGTACTTTCATGACAAATTTTCAATCCTAGACTTATCTCTTCACTTTTGTGCTGGACCAGTCAGTTTTTGCCTAGAATATGTAAAACATTTTAAGAGTAATCCATGACAAAATAACCAAGAACTTAATTCTTCTATTAAAAATAACTATAATCAATAATAAAGATCTTTGACTATCTGTGCTCTACTACTTTGTGTAAATAACTAGGTGCTGTTTCTCCAGAAGAGTGGTGAGTCAAACAATCAGTGAAAAGAGAAATGTTTTCTACTCACTGGCAAAGCTGTAAAAAGAATTCCTTGGTCCCTACCTGTCCCCTGTGGCTAGAACAAATGTATGCCTATTTCCTAAACTATATCATGTCACAAACATTGATTTTTAGAGAAACTAACAGCTCTATATTCTAAATATACTCTCTATAAGGCTGAAAATTATTTTCTAAATTTCTTGATCTGGCCTGTTGAGCTCAATAACATTCATTTCATCTTATGCCACAGCATTTTTGCTTTTTACTAGTTTAAAATACTGTACAAATAGATAATTCAGAATTAAGAATTATTCAAAACAATGAAAACTGTACCCCAAATTTATATTTGACATTATCAGTAGATAAGTCAAATACCCTCATATCCAAATATTTATAAATCCCTGTATTTATTTAAATGGGTAGTGCTGTGGTAGGTATTGCTGAAGATATTTTAAAAACTGTCTCTTTTCCTACTGCCTTTAATAATAAAAGCAATATGAAAATGATCATAAAATAGTAGCAGCTAGTTCTGTGCTCATGTGTTAAGTACTAAGGGGTTTATATATATTTGGCTCCTTAAATCCTGTAAGAACCTTGTGATATGGGCATCATTATCATCATTAACTTGTTGACGAGGAAAACTTGTTAGTAAGGAACAAAACCAGCTTGCCATCTAACTAGCTGGGGAGAGCAGGAATGATATACATGAAAAGTGAACTAAGAGAAGAGCATGTTAAGTGCCAAATGACATTAGCTTTGAAAACTAAGTGTATGCCAACACCCCAAAGCTGCTCTTATTCCCTGATCTCTATTTTGTAAAACCTCCAACTTGATGGCATCCTGCAGTGCTGGGGAAGGCAACATGCACATCCCTGCTTGCATCCCTGCAGAGCTCTGGGCCATACCTGCTGTGTGCAGAGGAGTTCTGCCAATTTTGCTCTCGGTCTTCCAGGAATCTGGGGAAACAGTGAGCAAGTACTGGATGATCTGAGGGTCACCTTCTCGGCAGGCGATGTGGAAGCTGTTCCAGCCATCTTTGTTCTTCAGAAGTGGATCTGCGCCATGTTCCACAAGGTCCTGGATCACTTCAAGATTCTTCCTTGTGCAAGCCATCATCAGAGGAGTCCTAAGGCCATATAGGACAAGCTGTGAGGTGGACGGGCAGCTGAGACATTAGAAGGGTGCGACCAGGTCTTTAAAAAACATATATCCTTGGTAGAGATGAAAAACCTAGAGGACTCAGGGGTCTGGGAAGCAGGAAACACTGGCAACTTCTCTGCCTGTCCTGAGGACCCTGGGTGCAGTAACAAGGGGAAAATAATTGTCATGTAGGCATGCCTGCAGGAAGGGAATACAGAGGAGGCCAAGCTGCTCCTGAGCTAGTTTATAGTATGGCATTGAATCTAGGCAGAGCACATACAACCATAAAGTGTGTCCTGAAGAATACTGCATAAGAGGAACTCTGCTGGACTTACCCCACTCACTTCAGTCAGAAACCATTTGTTAATTACATTGTGTTGAAAAGGAGTTTAGAAAGAGCATTTGACACAGCACCTAGCCATAAGAAGCATATGCTAGTGAAGCAAATAAAACTGTGTGATTACAATAAGTATCTGAACTGACTTGTCTCTACAACTATAGGAGACTGAACTACATAAATTGATTTGGGGTAAGCCATTTCACCTCCATGAGCTTTTTGGTTTTTTGTCGGCAAAACAAGGGGGCTATGATTTCTGAAAAGCAGGGTCAGATCTTGTTTATCTCCTTGTTCCCAGGATTAGAACCTGTGTCTGACACATAGTCATAGCTCACTATACTTGGATGATTTCTAAGGTCTCATCATCAAGAAGGTAATGTAGTAATGATAGCAAATGAGAAATTAAGGGGGAAAAACCCAGGTAAATGAAGGCTGAAATCTTCAAAAGGAGCTTCACAGAGAGAATGAATCTTGAGCAAGGCGGGATAATTGGAAAAGCAGGGAAGGTATTTCAGAAAGCCAAAAAGGTAAGAATGGGAAAAATGTCTCCTGTGACTATACACATCCCAAATACATAATCAAATGAATCTCCTCCTTTTAGTGTGTGTGTGTGTTTAATTTTAATTTTTTGGAAGCTGTTTCCTTATCTGAAGAATTATTTTGAGGAGTGTATGAGTATTTGCCTCTTGGAACTGTCTTTATTTTTTTAAACCTCACCCAAGGAAATGTTATTCATTTTAGAGCGAGGAAATAAGGAGTGGGAGGAGGGGGGAGAGAGAGGGAGAGAGATCTGATCAGCTGCCTCCATGTGTGTCTTGACCCAGGGTTGAGCCCACAAACTTTTGGTGTGTGGGACAAAGCCCTAACGAGCTGAACCACAAAACCAGGGTTTAGAACTGTCTTTATATCAATTTACCAGCAGCACAAGAAAATCAGTCTTGTGCTTTAGTCACAGCCAAAGTGAAACCCTCAAAACACAACCAGGCCTACTCCAATCCTTAGTGGGCAAAATACACTTTACTGTATATGGCTGTCTGCTATGTTTCTTATTTATATCTCAATCAGGAATTATTTGTATGCAAGAACTTCATTATGTTATGAATCTCATGGCCTTCATAACCGCTAAGGAGCCAGACATAGTGACTACTGAAAACAACGCTGGTCTAAGAAAATGCATTTGGTTTGTGTGATGGTACAAGTGAGTAGCTTGACTGTGGAGGTGGTTATGCAAGGTTTAATACATGATAAAATCACAGCACCACCACCTACACACAAGCATGTATAATCTGGTGAAATGTGAATAAGTATACTGTTTGTAGCAATGTCAATTTCTTAGTCCTGTTATTATAATGTAACTGTGTAAGAGGTTAACCTAGGGGGAGTCTGGGGAAAGGGCACACGGGGCTTCCCTGACCGTTTCCTTCTGTGAACATATAACTATTTCAAAATGAAAAGTTAAATCAATGCCATTGGTGAAGTAATCATTTACCTAGATGCCCCCAGAAGAATTTCGTATGCCGGGGCTCATGTTATATGTAGTACAATTTGATATTATTCTATCCGATAATATTCTGCACTGTTCTTTTATAAAGGGAAACAAATGCCTGGACCAGTTGACCCCCATAAGGGTAGGTACAATGTGCCCTAATGGGGAAGGCTGAGAAGCCATGCAATAGCGGCAGACAAAGTAAATGGGGATCTATGATTCTGCGGAAAGGGTATCTTTCTGAACTCCCACTACCTACCAGTCACCCCTCTTCAGACAGTCGACCGTGGCTCCTCGGCACAGCAGGTACTGCACGCAATCCTGGTGGCCCATGGAGGCAGCTTCGTGCAGAGGCCGCTTGTAGTCTCGGTTGGCGGCCTCGATGTCCATATCCCAGTCCTCAGCCAGACAAGCAAGTATGTCCCGACGCCCGTGGCGGGCGGCGCAGTGCAGCAGGGTGTCGCCCATAGGCCCCGGGCAGCCGGCGCCCCCTCCTCTCTGCAGCTCCTCTCGCAGGACGCACAGCTGACCTTCTTGCACCAGCCTGAAGAGCCGCCTCGGGTCCCTGGGCGCCGCCATGGTCACCGGGGCCAGAAGGTGCCCGAGTCCCCTGACCGCCCCTGTTTGGGGTGGGCGTACTTACGCCACGGGGTGTCCGTTTCCCACTCCGGACCCCGCCCGGCGTTGGGGCGGGGGAGAGACCGCGCTTCCCTTTGCCGGGTGGTTAGTGCGCCTGCAAAAAACTCACCTCGCAGGTGGCTGCGAACGCGCGCTCCAGGTGCGGGCGCAGTCGTGTTCGAGGACGCGCGGCACTTACGGAGGCTTCCGCCTGCACGGATTTCATTTTGGGGCAGAACACTCGGTAGTCGGTGAGCAGCTCTCAAACCCACCGGGAGGGGCGCGTGCCGCCTGGAGCCCGCCGGGGACCGCACTCACTCCGCGCCGCAGTAGGGCCAGTACGGGACCTGACCGCCTCCAGGGGGTCAGTGAGGTACCCGCACTAGTGAAGGGCTCCGATCCGGGCCAGCTCAAAGGTAGCTCCGCGCCCACGAGACACCGATAAAGGAGCCCGGCCGGAGCTACCGCCCGTACTCTTCAGCAGGGAGATACCACCCTTAGGGCTGCGGTGGGGTCCGGCGCATCCCGACCCAAAGGCAGTCCCTCATCGAACTGTAGCCAGCCTCCGCCCCACTGCGGCCCGTCCTTGGGACCCCGAGAGCACGGAGGAACTCTGGGAAAGTTTCCATTGGTCTCCTCGCGGTAGCGGAAGCATGGGCGGGGCGGGGCCGCTAGCCGGGGCCGCGCCCCCTCCGCACGCGCGTTCCGATTGGCCACGGGGGAAGTCCGTCAGCCCGGAGGCTGGCTCTTCCCGGGGCAGCGGAGGGGCCGAGCTGTCAGAGGAAGTCCAAGGCCTGTTTAAGCTAGCGCTGCCCTGTGGACGCCGGGACTGGGAGGCGACGGCGGTGGCTGGAGCCCCGGTCCGGAGCGCTATAGTGCGTGAGGCCGCGGACGAGTCAGGGAGCGCGGGCGGGACCCTGCGCTGTGAACACTTAACCTTTTGGGGTCCTGAGCGAGGGTCTGGTCTCTAAGGGCGGGGGGCGGGTCTGCGGGGGGCTTAAGGACCCCGGGCCTGGGCTGTCGGGCGGCTGGTGAGCTAAAGCGAGCGGCGGGGCTTGCACACTGGAGGCCGAGGGGCGCGCCTACGCTACGTCCTTGCGCCCGGGAAGTGGGGATCTCGTCGTTTCTCGGTGATTGTAGGAGTTACGGGGGATGTGACCTCGGCTGCCGGCAAGCCAGCATTCCTTTTCTACTCCTGTATTTTGACCTTGGGCGAGTCATTTTATTGCGTCCTTTTGCCTCTTTTATTTGTAGTCTTCCTTCCCCTTACCTGAATATTAAGAAAAATTGAGGTGATGTGGGAAGGCCTTGAGCTTGTGGAGCATAACGCTGAGATCTCAGCAAGCTGTATGGGGGGCTGGAAGGAAGTTCTTTCCCGGTATAATCAGGTACTAGTTATTTAAACCTTAGTGTTTTCAAGTTCCTTTAAAGGTAAAATGGGTGTTGCTACTATTTGCCAGACCTAGAAACAATTATGTTCTCCATATTATATTGCACTCTATGGTTTACAAAGCACTTTATGTAACCCACAAACAACCCTGTAAGTCATCATTATCGGTGGGTCCTAAAAAGTTAGTGATTTTGCCACGAAAGTATAGATTATAATAAAGTCTGATGGAAGGAAGGATGGTAGCACCTAGTGAGTGTGTCTGCTAGTTCCTGGCCCTGTGCTAAAATAAATTCAGGGACATAAAATGAAAAAAAAAAGAAAAGAAAAAAAAAGGCCTCTGGTACGGGCTTATGAAAACAAGCCCATTTTGTCAGTGAGCAGATTAATTTTGGTTAATTACTGGGCAAATTGACAGTCACTGGAGACAAAGCTAGATCCACTATCAACTTTGCTGAAGTGTTTGCCATTGTGTCTTGCCACTTCAAAAAAATAAATAAATAAATAAAATGCACGAAAGTGGTTTGAAATGCATGAAGTTTTAGAACATGCCAAGCATTGTTCCTTCTGCTGCTGTTGGAGTCAATGCAAATGGAAGTTAAAGCATGTGATAGCTTCACAGGTTTTGCTGCAAATGCTCCCCCCATCCTAATTACAAATCAATCCACCTTCTCTTACTTTATGCTCCTAGTTTTCCTGTTTTTAAAAACAAAATCGAAAGACATTGGATGCACAATAGGATAAACTATTTTAAATCCAGATGATTGGTTACTTAGCTGTTTCTCTTGTGAAATGCAAATGTTTCTCATCTTTTTTAGAAACTTATTTTGACCTGTATCCCCCTTTAAATAAGTAGTTGATAATGTATGTGAATCTGTCCACAGCCCCTGTGATTTTCTGGAGCAAAAGTGTGGTATACAGGAAGCAAATGGATGGAACTATTCTGGGCTCTTGCTAGTTTTTCATTTGGGTTACCCATTTCCTTTGTGCAGGCTTTTGGAGCTTGTGGTCTTTTGTGGTCTGGCCTTTACTTTCATTTCACATGTGATCACATTGCCATTGTGGTTGCCTTTTGTCTTCTTTCCTTTCTCCTGCATTGTATTCCATAGTTATGTAGCATTCAGTTGTGGTCATTGGTGTTGTGATCATTTGACATGTTCTATGATCTTAAGTGTGTGAGCACCAATTGATGTTGGACTTAAAAGCTCTAATTTCAGATTTGTTGTCGTCTTTCTCTGCTTTTTGTATTGTTCTATCTTTCCTGGGCTGATTTTATTTGAAGACTGAATTTGGTTCTGTCTGCTCCTCTGGCTGTGGATTCAGCTACTTCTAGAAGCATCTCACCAAAGTACCTCAAATCTTACATTTCAAGTGTAATTCACATGCCTTTTGAGGACCAGTCTCTTATTTCAAAGTTCCTCCTGGAGCTTTACCTGGTATTCTACAAATAACTTTAAATCATTTTTTTAATTCTCACCCAAGGATATGTTTTTTTGGATATGTTTTTTTAATTGAATTTAGAGAGAGGAAGGGAGACAGAAAGAGAGAAGGAGAAAGATCAATAGGTTGCCTCCTTTATGTGTCCCAGCTGGGGATCAAACCTAAAACCTAGGCATGTGTCCAGACCAGGAATCAAACCTGCGACCTCATGGTGCTTGGGACTATACTCCAACCAACTGAGCCACACAGCCAGGGCTCTACAGATAACTTTAAAACAAAACAAACAACTGTTTTCAAAACTGAAAACTCTTATCCTCTCCTCACTCCAGGAAAAATTGATTAAGAGAAAAATACTATCTCTCCTTTACTTCTTAGTGTGTTAATGACATTCTCATTAAGTTCTAGCTGGACATGTGCATTATCTTTGTTCTTTCCTTTTTTATCTTTTTCTTCCAGTCTTGTTAGAAAAGATCCGTTGATCTTCACTTTCCCCTACTTCCTGCCTCTGCTAGTGCTCTCAGGCCTTTACCAACTCTTGCTTTGGTCAGTAAAGTAATGTTCTGCCTTGTTTTCCTGACAACCTTCATGTTTATCCTATATCCAGCGTACTGCTCTAACGTGTAAATTTGATTGTATAATACATTGATCCTGCTTAAAAGCTAGATGATTCTCTGAATTGCCTACCTGATAATGTCTAATTTCCTTAAAATTATTCAGGGTTGGGAAAAAGCAACTTGAGTACAGGAAACACAGAGTTTATGGTTGTATTTATTAATTATTGTAGTATTTTCCATACAAACAAATGTAGACCTACTTTTGCCCACTGCTGTATTTAAGGACCTTTATAGTCTGTGCCTCCAAATTCCTTTTCCAGCTTTGTCCCCCTTTCATAAGCCCTTTGTATTAATGAAACTCAACTTCCCGCCACAGACGTTCGATGCTTTGTGACTTTGCACACATTGTTTCTTTTGCCATATTGAATCCTACTCATGTTTTGAGGCTGAGCTCTTCATAAAGCCTTTTTCAACTTTCCTAACTATTCACTTTTATTTATATATTATCATAACACTTCATGTGTGCATTTGTGTGGAACTTAAATTGCCTTATGTATAGTAATTTGTATTTGTTTTGGTAGTTGCCTTATCGGCAGGCTAAGTCTTACTGATTTTTGTATCTTCAGTGACTGAAATAACATTTGATTCCACAGATGCCAAGAGAAGAAGCATTTGTGGTGTTTCTAATGAATTTTGGACATAATGAATAGTTAAAAGTGGTTGTAGAATGAATTGACAGTAGAAAAAGCCATTCAAATATATAAAAACATGTTTTAGTTCATAAAAATATGATTATTTTCTTGTTTTTCCTTATTTAAAAAAAATCATTCTTTTCCTGTGAGAAACATTCATATTGAAAAGCTCCCTCCATCCTCGTTTGCAGTATTAAGTGAATGTGTCTCTAAGGGAGGAGCAGCCGTTTGCAGGGTGGGAGGACCTAAGGACAGTTGATCCTGGAGCCTAGTTTTGGGTTTGTAAAGCAGTAGGCTATGGTGCTGAGAAAGACCTGACTTTGCATCAAGAGTAAGTACTTGGGAAGGAGCTAGCTCCGTAGTGTTTTCTTTCAGTGCTTGTCTCTTTTTGAACTAATGGGGACAAATATTCTGAAATTTTTCCATTTTGAGTGTACTATATTTAGTGATATTTTCCCTGTAGTTATGTTATTCATATACTTGCTTGTTATTCACTGGTTATGACATTGCACAGTGATTTTTTTTTAAAGTCACAGAAATTAAACCTGAGGTTTTTAGAAGCTGCTTTAAATCTTTCTGGACATGGAAGGGAGGACGTTATAGCCAGAAGAACACTGGACTTGGGGAGTCAGAGGACCTACATTGTATCACCGACAAGTTGTGTTTTGACTTCAAGCAAGCCTTCTCTGAGACCCAGTTTCATCATGGCACAATTGTAGAATTGCGTGAAGATCAACTGAGAGTATGTGAAAGAACTTTAAAAGTTAAGAAGCATTTAGGAGCTGAAAGATGCTATAGGGTTTTGAAGACAAGCTCAACTTCTTTAGAGGGGAGTGCTGTAGTTGCGCAATTGTTCATTTGTTTTACAGTTGTTTATGGAGGAATATGCAGTGGGTGCTGGGGCTGAGTGCACTTCCCACTCTTTCCTCCCACCAGACCATAGAACTCTCAGTCCAGGGCTGGAAGACATACCAGTACACGCTTACACAAACAATTGTTAATAGTATAATAATAAAATATATCTTAGTGACAATTATTTGTATTTGACACATATTAGACACATAGTTACACAAATAATTATGACAAGTATCTCAGAGACATATGGGGTGGTTTTATTACAGCAGAGTGCTTCCTGGCTGGAAAGAATATTTTCTACTATACTGGAGTTGAAGAATAACGTCCTTAACTGTGTTTAAATTGTGCTCGTAGGTCTCACAGGGGGCATCTTGGCCTGTGAAGTACTTGAATCCTTGTAATAATGAGCTACATTGCAGTGTACCTCTGCCTCTCTCCACAGGAAATGCAAGAGGGAAAGTGTCTACTTGTTGACCTTCACAGAGTCCTTAGGAGAAGAGGGAAAGAGTTGTGGGAAACTAACAAGATGAGGTTAGGGACTCAGTAAGTTTTCTAGAGTAGCAAAATTGCCCTCCGTGGTTCTTCTTAAGGGGAGTTTCTCCAGTAAGGTACCTTGTACTAGAATTGCCTTGATTTAAAAAACAAACAAACAAACAAACAAACAAAACCTTTTCCTCCAGGAATTATAGGTACTTAGTATCTTCATCTTGTCCATTTATGGTTGTAACCTGTAATTTTAGAGGACTTTTTGGTATAATTATGATTAGAAAGGGTAGGAGAAGAAAGGAAATTATTTGGTATCAATTTCAAATGATCCTGGAATGATTAGGGTAAGTGTGGCTACAGTAACAGATGCAAACATATAATAACCTCAGAATCAGAGTTCAGTTCTCAGTCCCAGAACAATCTAAGGTATATCCAGGTTGCTGGGCGGGGGCAGGGGGCAGCGTTGGGGGAGGCTGGGGGGCGAGAGAGTGTTAGAGAGTTAGTTATGGGGAAGGCATGGCAGTCTTTAAAGCTATAATCCCTGGAACCAAGGCTGCTGCAGGCTCTTCGTTTTTGAATGTGTGTCTTTGATTCCCCCGTTCACAGGAAGGGAGCAGAGAATGGAAGAACAAGCGTGAGAGGTTTCTATGGGCCAGGCCGTGAAGAGGGACACATCCCTTTATTCACTTTCCCTGAACTAGAGCTCAAAGCAACATCCTTGACTAGCGGAAGTGTAGACTAGCTGTGTACTAAGGAAGAAGAGGAGCTACGGTCTTTGCCACAAAACCCAAAGCACTCTATTTTACTTTCAGTGACTTGTTTTGTAAATTGTTTTGCAATAAAAAGATTAAAATAAGAAGCCAGGCAGATTAAAACAGAATTGAGGAATCAGCCACATACTGCTCATTCAACAAATATTTGAGTATCTGTTATTTGCAAAGGATTGTGCTAAGTGCTGTGTGGAATAAGCTGATGAGACATGTTCCCTGTCTTTTAAGGGTTTCTAATATAGTAGAGGTTTAGTAGTAATGTAGTTCAAGGAAAACTGAACAGTCTAATCTCATCAGTGGGCCTGACTGGTGGAGGATGGGGTGGGGGCAGGAAGTTGGGCAAGGATGGGATGATCATTACCAGAGTGAAGAAGAGATCGATGACAGGTAAAGGGCCAAACTCCACGTAATCATTTTGAAATCATATAGCAAAAACCTAGGACCAGCTCTCTGAGCTAGGAGCTTTAGAAAGGAGGCCATGGGAGTAGGGGAATCAGAGAGATATCACCCTGTAAGAAAGCCATTGCAGACAAAGTGTGGGGAGGGGCAAAATTGTGTTTGACAGAGTGTGTTTCATACAGTCTCTTTTTTGTCCTAACACCTGATGGATATGGCACAGTTCTGTGAGTCACTGTGGTAGAGTCTCCAAGAGCGGTTCAAATACTCACTTAGGTTTGGAAGAGACTCAGTTGAGCATCTCTGGGGCCTCACAGAGTTTGAAAGTCCACAAGTGATGCTGACCTCTCTCCATATCTTTCTTACGGGTGCACGTTTATCACGGAGCACTCTTAGACTTTGCTCCTTGAAGGATCTTGAGCAGCTTCTAACAATAAGTGCCCTTTAAGAGAGGTGCAAAGTGCACTTGCTGTGTAGAGGAGGGAGGAATACCATGGGCCTTGGGGGACTCAGGGGAAGAAGAGGTAGCATTTGAGCATCTTTATTTTGATAAAGTTATATTTACACTGCTGGTTTAAAAGCCTATTAATAAGAATAGAAGGGCGGTTAGAATTTTACTATGGTTTTATAAATAATTTTGCAAGAATATTAATGCTATTAAACTTTATGCACCTTTTGGGAGACAGTCAGAATGGTGTGGTTGATATGCAATTCTGACATTTCAGCTGATAGGTTTTGTCAGCTTCAACGTGGGTGTCACAAAGTACTTTCATCCATATTGTCTCATTTGAACCTCATATAACTATTCTGTGAATTCAGTGTGGCAGGTTATTATAATCCCCATTTTTAATAAGAAGGAAATCAAGGCTTTTAGTGATTAATACACCTACCAAGTGGAGGAGGTCTTCTGACTCCAAATCTGAATGCACAATGCATCCTTTAGTGAAATGATTTGTTTAACACAGGGCTCCTGATTTCTAGTTCAGTGAATCACAACACCTCCTCTCTCAGAGTTCTGAGAGGCAGATAAAATACAGTTCAATTTTTCTGAACTCCAGCTAAAGTCAGAAAAGTAATTTTGGGTATATAAATACAATAAAAGTGTTAGCTCTGCATCCCAGTTAAGCAGTCATGGCTCAGGTGATGCCATTCCAAATGGATGATATAGGCAACCATATTAGTACCCAGAAGCCAGATTGCCCTCTCTAGGTGCCCTGCCCCCGATTTGTTAGCCTTATACCCTTCCATGATGGCTTCCTGCCAGAACACATTGGGATATACCAGAATTTTAGAAGTAGAACACTGTTCTTCCACTCACTCCCCTTACCACTTTCTTTTGCTCCCATGCCTTTGTTAAATTTCAAACATTTAATCTTTTCAACGAGCATTTAAGATTCAGATGTATTTTACAAAATACATCCATAAATAAAAGTCTTCCTTTGTCCATATTACCTACTTTTGCAGAATAGTTTCTTTGGGGCACTTTTAAAATTTTTTTATTTATTTATTTTTAGAGAGATGGGAAGGGAGGGAGAAAGAGGGAGAGAAACATTGATCCGTTGCCTCTTGTAGGCACCCCAACCAGGGACTGAGTGAGCCAGCTGGCAACCTAGGCGTGTGCCCTGACGGGATCAAACCAATGACTTTTTGCTTTACGGGATCATGTCCAACCAACTGAGCCACATTGGTCAGGGCTCTTTTGGGTATTTTTGATGTACTCGTGTCTGTCTGGTGTGCTACATTTTAGGGTTCCCCCATGTGGTCTGCCCTTGCGAAGTTCTGCCTGAAAGCAGTTCTCCAGAAGATTTCTAGTGATCTAGGGCTTAGGTTCCTCTACCACACAACCTTACCACTCTGACTTTGCTGACTTCTCATTCTCCTTCATGCTCCCTGCAGAGGGTACAACAGTGGAAAACATGGAATGCTTCCTGCCTCCTTGGAGCATGCTTTGATTCTTACACATGTGATTAAAACATGACTACCTAGTTGACGGTTATTTTCAGTGCTTCTTTGTTTTTACTGTGGCATCATCATTATAGTGAGTTGGCTGGGGAAAGATGGGATAGAGCCATTCTTACAGACTTATAGAAAATGTTCCAAGGGGCATTATGTATGTATGTATGTATATATGTATGTATACCTTTTCCATACAAATCTTCTGACAGCTTTTGTCTTGTGTCATTCCAAAAACTGAATTTAGGGATATATTGTATATTTGGGTGGGCAACTAAAAAGACTTGAAATAGAATTCGTGGTACAGTTGCTATAATGTGTTGCTAAGGGAGAATATGAGATTTCCTCCTTTAAGATTCTTAGAGGTAGATTTAATCGTCTTCTACTTGGGAGCCTTGCTTCTATCCTATGCCCAATGCTGAGATCCTCTGGATGCTAAGAGGCAGACAGTATGGTCTTCTCTAGTAATTTACAATGTTTTATTAATCGTTGCATTCTGGTCCTGAGACTTGGAGAAGCTGGTATGTACTGTACAGGGGATGATGAATGGGTTTATTTTTGGAAAGCTATAACCAACTCTTAAATACTTATGGTTATGATGGGAGCATAAATGTTTGGCTAAAGTCAAGAAAAAGGTGCTAGATAGAGTTCAATTTATCTGTTAGTGAAAACTTCTTTCTGAGAGTGTATTTTATGATCAGGGCTTGTAGAAATTATAGTAAGTGAAAAAGAAGTCTTTTTAGGGTATTATTTTTGGATTCTTTCCTAAGTTTTGAGGAAGAAATGCTAACAAACAATGAAATGACTAAAAATTGATGGGACTATAGGCAAAAAGAAAAGGGCTGTCTGGGATGATTCACAGTCACTGTATTCCTTGAAAATTAAGGATAATTTGCTGGCCTGTTTGTAGAATTGGTGGTAACTAACAATTGTCCCATTTCTTCTGCCTTTTCGTACAAAACAGTGAGGCGGTTTAAGCGGAAGCATCTTACAGCCATTGACTGCCAACATTTAGCTCAGAGTCACTTGGCTGTGACCCAGCCCTTCTGTCAAAGATGGACAAACAGAGACCCGAACCATGGTCTCTATCCTAGACCCAGAACAAAAAGAGGGACTAGAGGTATGTCTTCCAAAAAAAGTACCTTGCATTTCAGAAGCTGTACTGTTTGTGGCCTTTGAATATCTCCCAGTAATTCTAAGTACTACTGCTGTGATTTTGTAGTCCTGTTGCAACAGTTTGACACTTAAAAAAAATTATTAGTGAGTTTTCCATGAAAGTCGCATTCTATTATAGTGGTTGGTAAAGGCCTTGAGAAAAAGTGAGTGAACGAACTCCATTAGCTTGCTTAATTATAACATGGTAGGAAACACATACTAATATCACTGCTATTCCAATCTAGAACCATTGTGATGTCTTGGTTCTAGAAATTGTCCAATTGTCAATTCTCTCTGTCCAGTTGTCACCAGGTCCATTGTGTCCCATTATTTTTCTTCAAAATGTTCCCTTATTCAGTGGTTTCATGGTAGACCATGCTCTTGGCCACCTTAGACATGGACTGCTGCAGTAACATTTCTCCTTGCCCTTAGACTTTATTTCTTTAAAATCAGCTGGAACATACATACTATTCTTAAGTACCATTTCCTGTCATGTCACTGCCTCTCTAAAAGACCGACAGTGAAATGTCTCTCTGTTAGTATTATGGACCCAAGCTCAAAATTGTCATTACCTGATATGTATTGTTTATTACATGCAAGTTCTATTTCTGACAGCTTGGTTTTCTTATTATCTCTTCATGTGCCAAATGAATTCCTCCTTTTGCTAATATCTATTAGTATGATCCAGATTACCTTATTTCCCTTTGATATATCTAATTTCAGAATCCCACTCAAATCTTACCTAATTTTTAAAAAAATATTGTAATATGTATTTGTCACTTTTTGGAACTGCCATAACCAGTTTATGAGACAGTTTTAAACTAAATGGTTACATTTTGTTCTGCATATAAGTCAACTTCTCTGTTGTGAGATCTTTACACAGGCTTTGTCAGCATGTGTATGTTTCAATGGGGAGTCCTGGCACTGAGAATGTAGCAGGCTCTTAATAGGTATTGCTGTGATTGAATTCCACAATTAGAAAAATGTCAAGAATTTTAAAAAATATTTTATTTATTTATTTTTAGAGAAGGGGAAGGGAGAGAGAAAAAGAAGAGAAATATCAATGTATGATCAGTTGCCTCTTACCAGCCAGGGGACCTGGCCTACAACCCAGGCATGTTCTCTGACCCGAAATCAAACTGGTGACCTTTTGGTTTGCAGTACAACATCCAGTCTGCTGAGATACACCAGTTAGGGCATAAAATGTCAAGATTTAACCAAGGCCTGTTGACTTCAAAACTCTGGGTTTTTATCAAATCACCCCAGAAAGTTGGAGTTTTTTTTTCCTAAGGTAGAAGAAAAAATACTACATTTTATAAATTCTGTTAATGGCTAAACTTAATTTTATCCCATTCTCTCATTTTTCAAAATGAGAATTCTGGCTATAGTCAATTCAGAAAGGAGCCCTGTATTTTGTTGTATGTGATAAGGTGTGTAAATACTTCATTGGCATTTTACAGTAATTTATAGGAGTTTAAAATACAGTGGTAATCTGTAAAATCACCATTTGATTTCCCTTGGTGCTTGAAAAGCCTGTGAGGTCAGGGACTGTATGTACCATTTTTCACTTTATTTTTGTCTTAGAATCACAGGTGCTTATAAATAAATGTGTAGAGTGGATTAGGTACCACTCTAATAATACGAAGAGAATTGTGACTTCTTCCTTTTTATATCAAAATAAATAAATGTGTCAGCTTCACAGGAGGAAATGAAAATAAATGGCTTTTAACTCTGTCACAGGAGAGAGTTGGTTTCACTGAATCCTGATAACATAAAGTATTTTTCTTTCTACTTAAGCAAACTTAGATTTTTTATTGTACAAGCAAGCCAGGAGGCATAAATTTTCATAGGTAGATGTGTGAATGAATGTGAGCAGTCATTTGGTTTTTGTCTGTCCATTCATATATTCAATTTACATGTGTTACAAGGTATGGTGTTGTCCTCACACCATCTGAAGACAGGTCTCTGTCTCAATACATATGTGTGTTTGACTGTGTGGTAGAGCAAATATAACTTTTTTAAAAAAATTAAGCTCTTTATATAATCAGTTAGCCAGTAACTATGTCCTTGTCACTTAATTGAAAATTGTTTGTATCATTTGGGTCAATAGTGGTCAGCAGTCATTATTTATTTCTCATTATTCTATTTGGGTTCTCTGTGTAGGTCAAGGATTTCAAAGATACATCACTGAATTCTTCCTAGCTAGCCAGCAGAGGTGCACCAATGACATGGCTAAAAGCAATTCTGTGGACCAGGACAACTCTCAGGACTCGGAGGGTGAAGTGATCTCTGCTGAGGAAAGCAATTGTGCCCTGCCTCGGGAAGGTGATGGAGAAGCAAGACTGGGCTCATCACACTCTGCTCTGCCCTCAAGGAAGCGCTCTCGGTCCCTTGAGGACGAGAGGAATCAAGCTATGGAGACCAGTCAGTGGGGTGGGGTTTCTAAGAAAACCCTACGGCATCGATTTTCCCTGTCCCGCACAAAGGCCAGGGAAGCCAGGCAAGAAGTAGAGGGCTCTTTGTCATGGTTGTCTGCAGAATCTGAAGAATCCAACCAAGAAGTAGAGGACATTGGTCCTGATCCCATTCCTGACTCTTACTATGGGCTTCTTGGGACCTTGCCCTGCCAGGAACCCCCGAACCACATCTGTAGCTTGCCCAGTGAAGTCCTAAGGCACATATTTTCTTTCCTCCCTGTGGAAGATCTCTATTGGAATCTGTGCTTGGTGTGCCACCTTTGGAGGGAGATAATTAGTGATCCACTGGTACGTAAAGCGCTTGGAGTTCTATGATATTTTCTCTAAAAAGACATAGATTAGCTTTCCTTAATGTATACTTCTGATTGTAGAGTTTAGTTTCCCTTTGCCTTCAGATAAAATCCCAATTCCATGGAGGCTTGTGAGGCTCTCCATGTTTGTCCCACCTACTATCCCAGCCTCATTGCTCACTTCTCAATACATCCCTGTGATCTGTCCATAGCAAATGATTTATTTGTTGTATCCAGCCAAAGACTGCACACTGCTTTCTGCATGTTGGTCTAACACCCTCACCCATACAACCACATAAAGAGTCCCTTATATCTGTAGACATCTTACCTCTTCTTCAAGGCTTCAGTCTATTCTTTCCTATTTCACTCTCTTCCTTGTGCTACTGTAGCAATTTTTACCTTTGTTACAAGCTTTTCACGTTCTGTATTATGCTTTAAAGAGCCTTCCTCCCCCATTTAAATTATTAGCTCATTGATAGAAGGCAGGTTGTCCTATTAATGTTTTCTGCATTCTCCATTGTGCTCATGATATTTTACTTATAGGTGAATTATAGTGTTATGTCATAGGGTTCTCTTAATAACCCTTTTTATTTCTGTAACAGCAGTTGTAATGTCTCCTTTCACTTCTTTTTTTTAATATATATTTTATTGATTATCCTATTACAGTTTTTCCATTTTTTCTCCCCTTTATTCCCCTCCACCCTACAGCGTCCCACCCCCCAGCATTTCCCCCTGCTTAGTTCATGTCCATGGGTCATACATATAAGTTCTTTGGTTTCTCCATTTCGTATACTATTCTTAATCTGCCCCTGCCTATTTTGTATCTACTGTTTATGCTTCATATTCCCTGCACCTTTTCCCCTATTTGCCTCCCTCCCCCTTGCCTCTGATCTCCATTTCTGTGATTCTGTTCCAGTTCTAGTTGTTTGCTTACTTTGTTTTCTATATAACAAACTAAGTGTTCTATATAAGTCTGATGTTGTATATAAGTCTGTTAGGTTCAATTAACGTACTGTTGTTCAAGTTCTTTGTTTCCTCACTGATCTTCTGACTGGTTGTTCTATCCATTCTTGAAAGTGGAGTCTCCATTGCTATTATGTTGAGGTTTATTTCTTCCTTCAATTCTGTCAGTGTCCGGTCCCTAGATTTAGGAACTCTGTTATTGGTACATATATATTTATAATTGTTCTATCTTCTTGGTGAATTGACCCTTTAATCATTATATAATCTCCTTCTTTGTCCCTTATAATAATTTCTGACTTAGTCTTTTTTGTCTGTTATTAGTATAGCTATAGCTTTCATATTATTTAGTCCTTGTTGAAACTCTGAGCCTTTGTGTCTTGATATTTTGACAGGGAAATTGAAGCATTAGCTTTTGCCAGATTCTATGTCAAGTTAGTGTTCAAATCAAAACCAAGACCTGGTTCTCCTAGTTTCCAGTCAAAATTTGTGTAGTGTTTGTACCCTATTTGCTCAGCTCTTAAATTGTGAGCTATAATTGCTTATAAAAAAAAACAAACCCTCACCTGAGGATATGCATAGAGGAGAAGAAAGGGAGAGGAGAGAGGGAAACAGTAATCAGTTGCCTTGTGTGTGTGTCCTGACTTGGTACTGAACCTGCAACCTAGGAATGTGCCCTGACTGGGAATCAAACCCACTACCTTTTGATTTATGGGATGACGCTCCAACTGAGCCACACTGGCCAAGGCTATGCTTGCTTTTTAATTGGTAGAAGCATATCCATGTGTTTGTGGTCCAATCTGCTAATAGTCATTTCCTGTATGTTATTTTGGAATTTTTTCAACTATATAGTTCATTCCTTGGAAAAAGCTGTATCATCGATACCTGATGAATGAAGAGCAGGCTGTCAGCAAAGTAGATGGCATCCTGTTGAACTATGGTATTGAGAAAGAGTCAGACCTGTGTGTGCTGAACCTCATCCGGTGAGTTGTTTTTCTTCTGGAAGGAAGACAGTTTCTGAAGTCCTTTCCCATATATTATTACCTTTGACCATCTTTCTCATGGACTCCTCTGTGAATGCCTTAACAGCTATACAGCCACCACTAAATGCTCCCCAAGTGTGGATCCTGGAAGGGCACTGTGGAGTCTGAGGGATCATCTCCTCCTTCCTGAGGCAGAGGCGTGCGTGCGTCAACATCTCCCTGACCTTTACGTTGCTCCTGCGGTACGTAAAGAGGCCATGGGGAATTATTGGGAAAGGTGACACATTTTTCTCATTTCTCAGTGTATTGGTGAATAAGTTTGGCTGAAGGTTGTTTTAGATTTATTTTCAGAAATCTTTCTTTAATTTCTGTTTTGAAGCCTTAATCTTTTCAATGATCCCATTGGAGAAGTAAAAGGGCACATTGTAGATTCTTACATTTGGAAGAAATTTTTAAAAGCATTTAGCCCAATGCCCCATGCTTTTGAGAAATCCTCAATAGGGGACGGTCATCAAACCTCTGAACACTTTGATTGATAAAGATTTCCTTACTGGGCAGCCCATTCCATTGTCAACAACGTAGGTTGTATAAAGACCATAGAAATTCAAGGTCTTGGCTACAGATGCATGTGAGTTGATGAGAAGGTGGAGATAGTCCTCAGTTTCCTAGCTTGTGGTTCCTCAGTTAGGTCATGGATTTTCAAATTTTATTTTAGAAGCTATATGCAACCTCAGCCTGCAACCAATAGAAGATTGGAAATTCGTCTATGTCCACTTTTCCTTTATCTTCAGTGAAGTGATTGTTGAGTTGATGATGGTGGAGTGAATTTTCTTTCACTGGATGGTTGTCATTGAGAGGTGCATGGAATGCACCTTTCTTGGAATGCATTTTTATTTTTATTTCTTTATTTTATTATAATTATTTTAATTGTTTATTCTATTACAGTTGTCCCAATTTTTTCCCTTTTGCCCCCCTACCCAACCCACCCCTCTCTCCCACAGACAGTCCCCTTTCTGTTGTCCATGTTCTTGTGTCTTTCATACATGTTCTTTGCCTAGTTCCTTCCTCTTCCTTCCACCATTCCCCCTCCTCTCTTCTTTCTTCCTATAGCTATCATATTTCCATGCACATGGTTCTATTTTTCTCATTAGTTAATTTTGTTCATTAGATTCCAGTTATAAGTGAGGTCATATGGTATTTGTCTTTCACTGGGTGGCTTATTTCACTTAGTATAATCTTCTCCAGGTCCATCCATGCTGTCACAAAAGGTAGGGCTTCTTTCTTTCTGTTGCATTGTATTCCATTGTGTAAATGTACCACAGTTTTTTAATCCTCTCATCTACTGATGGGTACTTGGGCTGTTTTCAGCACTTGGCTATTGTGAATAGCACCACTATGAACACAGGAGTGCTTTTGAGTTGATATTTTAGGATTCTTAGGGTATATTTTCAGCAGTGGGATCGCTGGGTCATAAGGCAGTTCCATTTTTAACTTTTTGAGATATTTCCAGTCTGCTTTCCACAGTGGCTGCACCAGTCTGCATTCTCACCAGCAGTGCCCTAGGGTTCCCTTTTCTCCACGTCCTCACCAGCACTTGTTGTTTGTTGATTCATTAATGATGGCCATTCATACAGGCATGAAGCAATATTTCAGTGTTGTTTTAATTTGCATTTCTCTAAAGGCTAGTGATGTTGAGCATTTTTCCATATGTCTATGGACTATCTGTATGTCTTCCTTAGAGAAGTGTCTATTCAGGTCCTTTGCCCATATTTTAATTGGGTTGTTTGTCTTCCTGGTGTTGAGTTGTATGAGTTCTTAATATATTTTGGAGAATAAATTGGAATAGATTTTTAAGCAGGGAGATTTGTAAAGTTAAGAATGATAAAGATCTATGTCCGTTACTGACTATTTCCATGTCAGTGAATGTTTTCTTAAATAATACTAAGTGGAGCATACTGTGTTTGTAATAATAAATTTTCAATAATTTACTTCATATGTATTTAACTTAATATTTAATAATTATTAATAATAACAAAGTAAATTAATAGCTTAATGGCAGAGAATTGTCAGTCTTGTTTTCCCTTCAACAGACTGCTGTCTTTCTTGTATCTCTCATCTTTTGTGCCTCCCAGGCAGACACCCATTTAATAGTGGTCCTGTTGTAACTCTGTTGAGTATGTGTAGACCTGAGCGCTCACACTAACCTGGAGAGGAGGGATGGGGAAATGAGAGCATCATTGCTTGCAAGATTCTATGTTAAATACTTTATAAATGTTATTTAATTACACTAAGAATTCAAATCCAGAAGTGATTAGAAGAAAGGAATCCAAGGCAAAAGAAAAGGTTCCCATTGTTTCCCTAATGTCATTTGGGAAGTTAGTGCTCAGTTCAGGCAATATGTAGATGGCCCTGGAACCCCATACTTGGGTTTCCTCACTGGTTGTCTGATGTGATATTTATTAATTGTGACCTCTATTTTGGGGTCTTGTCTTCTTTTCCTGGTCCATCTCCCTCCAGGGTGTTAACGTGTGGGCTCTGGTGGCAGCCATTGTTCTCCTCTCCAGCAGTGTGAATGACATTCAGCAGCTACTCTTCTGCCTCCGAAGACCCAGCTCTACTGTGACAATGCCAGACATCACTGAGACCTTATACTGCATCGCTGTGCTTCTCTATGCCATGAGGGAGAAGGGAATTAACATCAGCAATCGGTAAAGTGGTTGGGAAGGAAGCATAGACTCAGACAGAGTGAAGATCCTAGACTTGTGACAAGTCCCAGCTCTGCCACTTTAACACTGGATAAGCCATAAAACCCACACTGCTCAATTTATTTATCTGTAAAATGAAGGTATTGTGAGATTTAAGTGTAGTGATGTAGGTAACAGTGCTCTACAAACATAAAGTGCTATACAACTGTAAAAAGAATCACTGAAACAGTTATGTACAAGGGTGTCGTAGCCCCACGTGAGGTCTTCCTCACTAAAAGAAGCCTTCTTTAATCATTTGTGGCTACAATTTCCTAGGGAAAATGTTAGGATTTGCTTCCTCCATTTCTCACTTCCTTGCAGATAGGATATAAAAATTGTGGTTAAGTCTTGTCTGCTAATCATCTTAGCGTGAGAAGGGCTATAGCTGGTGGGTTGCTCATTCTGATTGACCATCATGGTTTCACTCACCAGCAGATATACACAGGTCGGTTTTGAGAGGAATGTGTACATTCAGCAAATTTTTGAGCACCTACTACATTTCATATAGGTTTCTGGGCACTAGTAATGCCTTTCACATGGAATGTATGTTTTAGTGAGGAGAAACAGATACTGCATAAGTAAATAATTTAAACAAGATCATTTTAATGAGTGATTAGTGCTGCAAAGAAAAGAACAGGGTGATAGGCAAAGGCATTGAGGAGCACTACTTTAGACTGGGTGAGAAAAAGCTTCTCTGAGGAGGTAGCATCTGAATTGAAACCTGAATGTCAGGAGGAGCTGGCCACCTTAAGATTTGTGGGGAGAGCATTTTAGCAGAAGGAATAGATACTGTAAGAGCCCAAAGACAGGAATGAATTTAGTATACACAAAGAACAGAAGCCTAGTGACAAGAATGAAATGGATAAGAGGGAGACTGGTATATGATTATGAGAAGTTTCCAGTTACCAGATGATGGAAGATATTGTAGGCCATGTTACAAGTTAGAATGAAACCCAAGGTATGACATGCAACTACTGAGAAGCCCTGACCCCTGACATGGAGAAAGTGCGACAGTGCAAGAGATCTTGCAGAAGCAGACATTCCAGAGAGACTTTCCAGATTTCCTGTTCTGGAATTAGTGAGCGTTAGGAGGAATATGGCTGGAGACACCAGGTGAGCTGTGGCCCAGTCATTTGTGGTGAAGTTTGAGGATGGAACATTTATTCTCCGGAAGAGTATTTGCTGTGTTTTTGAGATATATTTCAATTCATTAAATATACTTTATGTTGTATCCCACTCCCTGGCATTGAAATGTGGGGCAAGGAGCTTTATGACATCATTAGGACTAGACAAATATACAAATGATGAATAATGACCATAAGTGCAAATATGAACCTATAAATAATTTACATGTGTACATGGACATAGATGAGGAATGGGAGATATGATAGGTTGTGTTTATATATTTTGTCCTGGTTTTCCTGGGAGATAATCTTTTTTTTCACTTGTAGCAAGGATTACTATCAAATTCCAGTCATTGGGCCAGAGACCTTTGCGGTGTTAGTGAAAAACTTGCCTCTCATGTAGCACACTGCCTATACTTGTGACTTTATCGGCCACCAGTGGCCTCAACTCCAAGCTCTTAACAATGTGCAGTCCAGAGAGATAATATTACCAGAGACCAAAATGTTGTATTATTAAAAGTATTTATTTCATCAAAAAGATTGATGTGTGGCAATCATCTCTTCTCACTCTGGGAATGGGGAGCAATGCACTAAATGGTGAGCAATTGGTCATAGAAGGATATGAGTTTGGGTTCATGTGAACACAGAAAGGTTTGGAGCGGCTTGTGATGGGACATGTTTGACCATGTCCAGTGCCTCTGTTGAGTGCTCCATGTCATCTTTTGTATCTCTTGGTGACTTGCAGGCTGTGTTGTTTTCTAGTTCTTGGTAATCTTATCTTTAAAAAAAATTTGTTGGGGTAACATTGGTTAATAGGGTCATATAGGTTTAAGGGGTACATTTCTATGACACATAGTCTGTATATTGCATTGTGTGCTCACCACCCAAAGCCAAATCATCCTCCATCACCATATATTTGGCCCCTGAGATCCTTTACTGCCCCACCCCTCCTTCCCTCTGGTAACTACTATACTGTTGTCTGTTGTTTATGAGTTTCAATTTTATATCCCACATACGAGTGAAATCATATGGTTCTTAGCTTTTTCTGACTGATTTATTTTGCTTAGCATAATATTCTCAAAGTCCATCCATGTTGTTGCAAATGACAGTATTTCATCTTTTCTTATGACAGAGTAGTGTTCCATTGTATATATGTACATTTTCCTTATCCAGTCCTCTATCCAAGGACACTTTGGTTACCTCCATGTCTTAACCACCATGAATAATGCTCAAGTGAACATCGGGGTGCATATATCTTTCAAATAAATGTTTTTGAGTTATTTAGGTAGGTACACAGAAGAGGGTTTGGTGTGTCATATGGTAACTCTATTCTTAATTTTTTGAGGAACTGTTACACTTCCATAGTGGTTTTACCAGTTTACATTCCCACCAGCAGTGAATGAGGGTTCCTTTTTCTCTACAACCTCTCCAACACTTGTTATTACTTGTCTTGTTGATAATAGGCATTCTAACAGGTGTGAGGTGGTATCTCATTGTAGTTTTGATTGGCATTTCTCTACTAGTAAGTGAAATTGAACATCTTTTCATATACCTGATGGCGGTTAGTATGTCTTCTTGGGAGAAGTGTCTGCTCAGGTCCTCTTTCCATTTTCTAAATGGAATTGTTTGTTTGATGTTGAGTTGTATGAGTTCTTCATATATCTTGGATGGTAATCATGTCTTGTTACCTGTGTAGCAAACTTTCTTTTGGATCTTAAAAGACAGAATGTTCTTCATGCTTCTAAACCAATATTACCTCATGAGACTCGGGGAGCAGAGCAGCAGCAGAGGCTCAGAAAGACAAGATGATATTATGTTGATGCTGAACAAGAATCTCACCACTAGGAGCAGAAATTACTTTTTTTTTTCAACTGGTTCATACTGCTCTTGTGATTATTTGTCTCTTGTGATCATAGCTAATGCCTTGTTCCCCAAAGGGCATATCCTGGTCTCTTTCCTTTTGCTGTTGCACCTGGAGCCAGTTGTCTTTCCCAGAACTGTGCTCTCCAAGAGGGCTTTGGTCATCTCTAGGTATATGTAAATTCTTTTCTTTCCTGTTTTTCATGACATGGTGGTAGGGTGTTTTTTTTTTTTTTTTGTATTGTTTTGTTTTGTTTAGAAATGGTAAAGAGAAAATACATCTGAGAAAAAAATAAGATACAGATTAAGACTTAATTTGATAATCTCTAAATCTGCTTTTTCCCTGTTAGGATTCACTACAACATTTTCTATTGCCTGTATATTCAGGAGAATTCCTGTACTCAGGCCACAGCAGTTAAAGAGGAAACATCAGTTTGGCCAGGGTATGTATATAGATAAGTGTGTGTGTGCGTGCGTGCGTGCGTGCGTGTGTGTGTGTGTGTGTGTGTGTGGTCTTTCATTCTTGACTCTCATACTTGAAGAGAGGTGTTTTAACAAGTTTATTGAGGTATAATTTACATAAAATTCACCATTTTAATTGTACAATTCAAAGATTTTCAGTAATTTCATTAAGTGTGCAATCAATATCATAATCTAGTTTTAGAAAATTTTTATCACCCTAAAAGGAGGTCCTTTTTTTGATTAAATTTTGTTCATCTGATTTAGCTGTTTGGTTTTTGACAGTCCGTCACCTTGTCTTTTCAATTCCTTTGTATTTTTCTAATTTTTCTTCTGTAATGATTATAGCAAGAAAACAACCATCCAACTTACACATGAACAACAGCTGATTCTGAATCATAAGATGGAACCTCTCCAGGTGGTAAAAATTATGGCATTTGCAGGTAAGGGAACTTGCCAACACTGGAATAGAGAGTCAGGTTCATGACTGTCATCACTACATTTCCCTTTCCTGTTACCTTCCAGAGTGTCTTTACCTTGATTTGTTATTGAACTATTGCAATGAAATAATCCAAAAAGCCATTGCTGAGTAATTCTTGCTTTTCCTTACCACTTCAGGGTGCATCCACACTGGAGTTCCTGGTGAGACAAATAGTTCATAGGAGTTAGTTTGCGAAGTAGTTACCAAAGGGATTGGTCCAGCCTGTCATTTATCATTATATATGCTCAGTCATTGTTTGCTTCTGGACTGGCAGGTCATGTTAATCTCTTCTCAGAAAGTTTCAGTAGCTCCTGATTTCTGTTGGGTGAAGTCTGGAAGGCCATTCCACCATTTGGTTCTAACCTGTGTTCCTAAATATATTGTGTATTATTTTCCTGCTTCAGCCAGCTCATTGTCCTTATAGTCCAACCTAAAGTACTTGATTATTCTTTTGTCTGAACCTTTGCTAATACTATTTTCTCTACCTGGAATCCCTCCCCTCTTTTTTCTGCCTACATATCCTACTAAAAACAAGAACAACAGCCATTTCTTAAATGCCTCTCATGTGCCTGAGAAAAATTAAAATGGCTTGCCCCAGGCTCTGGCCAATGTAGCTCAGTTTGTTGGGCATCGTTCCATAAACCAAAAGGTCACAGAACACATGCCTGGGTGCACATTTGGTCCTTGGTTGGACACATGCGGGAGGCAGCCAATCGGTGTTTCTCACATCGATATTTCTCTCCCTCTCTTTCTCCCTCTCTTCCCTCCTCTCTAAAGTCCATAAGCATATCTTCCGACAAGGGTAAAAAAATACTTGCCCCAGGTTAAATAACACAGTAAAGTGAAAAAGAATATGAATTTGGAAACAAAAAATTCTCACTGGTCAAAGAAGAAAAATAGTATCTCTTTTCCAACCTTACAGGGTTGTTTTGAATATGAGTGACATAGTGTGGAAATATTTATAAAATATGCATATTGGCTATTCTTACTATATGATTATATAGTATACGCTATATGAATTAAAAATCAAAGCTGGATTCAAAGTGGGATTCAAATTAGAATTCAAAGCTGGGTTTGTTCCTCTCCAAAAACCTATCTTTTCCCCTCTTTGCCCTCCCTCTTATTCTTTGCCCTAACATGTTGATTCCCATCATTTCTATGTTTTTTCTTGATGGAGGCTTCTTTCGTCATTAAAGTCCTAAGTGATCTCTGAATTCTTACCTATAACTAATTATTCATATTAACTATTTGGTACCTGACTATATAGTAAGAATAGCTGACATAGGCATTTTATAAGTACTTCTATATTATGTCATTCATACTCAAAACAACCCTGTAAGGTCAGAAAAGAGGTACTATTTTTCTTCTTTGGCTGGTGAGAATTTTTTGTTTCCAAATTCATATTCTTTTTCACTTTATTGTGTTATCATTATACTGTCATTTTGTTCTAATTGTTTCAACTGTGTTGGTATTTTATTTTCAATTAGATTATAATGTAGGAATATTGCTTTATGTCTTTTAATATACTCCCAGTACTTAGCATACAGCTGAACATGTAGTAGGTGCTCAATAAGTATTTTTAAATGAATGAGAGTTGAATAACTGAATGATTGAATGAATGGTGGAGAGGCAGGGCAGGCAAAGTTCAGAACGAATCTCATTTGCATACTTTTGCCATCAAGCATCAGTGAGCCCTAGGCCAGCTGTAGCTACCATTTATTGCGTTCTTCTGTTGGGTACCTTGATGATTATCTTTATCCTGCCTGCCTCTACAAGGTCAGTGTTAACCCACTCTGGGCTGAGAAGCAAACTGAAGATCATTGAAACCAAGTGGCTTGCCTTTCGTTCCTCAACTAAAACCTGACAGAGCCATGATCACAGCGCAGGTTAATCTGGCTTAGAATCTGCTATTTTTTCACTATACCATTGTTCATTTTTATCAGTATTGGTAAACTTGTCACTGTCTGGTCTCAAGCAAGAGGCAAGATAAGCATGGATAAAACCTGATGAAGACATCCTCTGGAACAGTTTATCCTGGTCAGAGGGTCACTTCCTTTCCTCTTGGCTTCCCCAGGCACTGGGAAGACCTCTACCCTGGTCAAGTATGCTGAGAAGTGGTCTGGGAGCAGGTTTCTTTATGTGACATTCAACAAGAGCATCGCAAAGCAGGCGGAGCGAGTCTTCCCCAGCAATGTCATCTGCAAAACCTTTCATTCCATGGCCTATGGACACATTGGGAGGAAGTGAGCATTATGTTGCCACCATTGTGGTTATGTCTAATTACTGTTTTTCATGTTGCAATCCTCATGATCACATATGGACTTACACTACAATGACACTAAGAAAATTTAGCCCTTTTATCTCCACTTATAGGAAGGAAATCCAAAGATAGATTTAGTGATTTGTTCTTTTACCCAATAAAAACATGTTAACAAATAATATCTGAACAGGGAGCCAATTTCATTTCTCTGGAATTGAAGCACAGAAAGTAAAAAAGATTTGTCTAGAGCTCACGATATCAGCCATCTGATTGGTCACTGCCAGGCTTTCCTAGAATGGGGCGAGAGAGAGAAGACTAAACTAAGTTGCACTTGGCCTAGGTCTCTTGAGGCCTCTGAACCAGCATTCCTTTGGATGTGAAGGCTTCAAGAACCTTTGAGTGTCTGCCCTTGGGGGCCTCTTGGAGTCTTGTTTCACACCTTGTAGTAGTAGTCATTAGAGTCCTAAGTGATGGACGTTGAGCCCCTTCATCTTCTCGGTTACTACATGTGAATTTCTGAAAGCCTAATGTGAAGCCATTTCAAATCATACATGGACCTGGCTCTACTTCTCTGGCTTTCTTGTTTTCCTCATCTATATGTGACACTGAGAGTGACCTTGTGGTGTCATTGGAGAGAAGGAGATTGGGAATGAGGGGGGACATTTTATTGGCATTGTCAATCAAGTCAACTACTGTTCATTTGGGATATGTATTACAGGTACCAATCAAATAAGAAATTGAATCTCTTCAAGTTAACACCCTTCATGGTCAATTCTGTCCTTGCTGAAGGGAAAGGTGGATTCATAAGGGCCAAGCTAGTGTGTAAGACTTTAGAAAACTTCTTTGCCTCAGCTGATGAAGAGCTGACTATTGATCACGTGCCTATTTGGTGTAAGGACAACCAAGGACAGAGAGTCATGGTTGAACAGAGTGAAAAGTTGGTGAGTATTTGAGTATCTTTAGTATTAGGGATCTAGAGGTGAATGAGAAGAGTTGACATGATACAGTGTTATATTTGTCTTTCATTTCTTTATAATGGCCAGCAAGAAATAACGGTGGAGGGGTGAGACTGTAAACCAGTCATGATAGCTGTGAGTTGTTAAGCATTTTCTGGGAAGAACGCTCATGGACAACTCACTCGGTTCTCACACTGGTCCTCCTGTTCACATGAAGCACCTACCCAGGGTTTATAAGAGTTTTTCATTGGGGCTGCTGGATGAATCTAAAGATTGGGAATCTCTTTTCTAATTTTTAACAAGTTTTTTCAATCATTTGCCATTCTTTTTATGAATTAATTGTTAGTCATAAATTTAGAGAAATAATCCAGCCTTTCCTGGTCCATCAGATTTTGTGCTGTCTGAGCAATGTTCTGTCACTGGGCTGTCGTGGAACCGGAAGGAAGTTAGGGAAGTGACGGCCACTCACCGAGCTGTGATGGTGCCTTTATTCTGACCTCTGCTCTGTATGTGGAAATGAAAAGTGTGATTTTAGGGTGCTGTCTTTTCCAGGGTCTTAAACTAGGAGTTACCAATTACTTGTTTTCTAGAACAGTGTTCTTGAAGCAAGCCGCCTTTGGGATAACATGCAGAAGCTGGGGGAATGCAAAGAAGAGGCTTACCAAATGACTCATGATGGTATGCAAGTTCCCAAATCTCGTTACCTGTTCAATGTAACTGCTTTACTTATGAGTTCTGACTCTTGCTACTCCCCTTTTTTTAGGCTACTTGAAACTTTGGCAGCTGAGCAAACCTTTGCTTGCCTCCTTTGATGCCATCTTTGTGGATGAGGCCCAGGACTGTACCCCAGGTGATAAACTATTCAGGATATCAGTAGTCTCAAATACATAGAAACAACATCATGATTATATAAGAGGACATATATGTGAAATTAGTTGATTATTCTTATTTGTCCTAAAGAAGAGGAACAAATGGTGGTATTTAGTGACTCAGAAATCCCTTATTATTTGACTTTGGATTTCAACAGTTGTCCTTCCCCCTACCCAAGGCAGATTAATTTTCTGCTAAATGTTTTGCTTCAGGGTATTCTTAAAATGATGACTAAGTTTAGGTCATCAGAGGATAGGGACCTAGACATATGCTGAGTGGGAAAAGATCATCAATTTAGAGTGAACAATTTGTGTTGTATATTGTTCAAGGGGCTAATAGAGAAGAGACAGTGTGACTTTGTAGGTCATTTGGGGTCCTTAAGTTAAAATATTAGACAGAAAAGACAATTTACCTCATTTCATATTTGCCTATGTGGTTTCTTATACACAATAATTTGCCTAGAACTAAAAATAATCTACATTCCTAGGATTAGAAACTGTTTCTTTTGTCTGTTATTAAGTCATTCCTTTGCATTGAGTGTACCTGTACTGCAGGAAAAGACAACTCTGTTGTGCAGTGTGCCCTGGCTTAGTTTCATGAAACCATTTTCATCGTTTCTGTCTGAAACATGGTTTCTTTTTTCCATGTGGGTTGGCATTCTCTTAGATCTCTTACTTCCCCCTTATTGGTTGCAGCAATCATGAATATAGTCCTGTCTCAGCCATGTGGAAAGATCTTTGTAGGGGACCCACACCAGCAGATCTATACCTTCCGTGGTGCAGTCAACGCCCTGTTTACAGTCCCTCACACTCATGTCTTCTATCTCACACAGGTAAGAGTTCTCTTTGCTTCCAAGTCCGCAGAAGGACATAAGTAAGCATTGTGGTTCTCCATGCTTGTTTTTCAGTGCTTACTATGTGCCAGGACCTGTGTAAGGCTTTGTGTCAGGTTCATAGTATGTAGCCAATCCTTGCTTCTAAGCAGTGGTTCTCTGGTTTTCAGGGGATCTACAGAGTCAAAACAGTTTTCATAATAGCAATTTGCCTTTCTCACTGTGTTGACATTTGAACTGATTATGCAAAGCAGCATGGGTGAAATTGCACGTGCCATGCCGTGAACCAAGGCTTTGGCACCAAACAGTACCAGCGGTCGTTGTGTTCTTTACTGCCATGTACTCATACAGTTTAAAAACAAGCAACAACACAGTTCACTTAAGAATGTACTTGACGCAGCAAAAATGATTAATTTTGTTAACTGCTATTTCTTGAAGACGTCTCTTTAATGTTCTGGCAATGAAGTGAGAAGTATGAATAAAGTACTTCTTCACACCAAAGTATGTTGGTTTTCTAATGAGGAGCAATTTTGTAATTGAGTTGTGAGCTACACTGGCAGTTTTTTTTCTTGTAGTACCATTTGTCATTGAAAGAACAGCTAACAGACTTCTGGTTATTCAGATTGGGATTTTGTTCATTTTCCCAAAAATTTTTTTGGGGAAAATAAATGAAATGAGCTGTGACTGAAGGAAAACAACTGAAAATTTTTTGTTACCAAAGATTCAAACCTTTACTTTCAAGTGAAATCAAAATTTTGGAAAATTTATATTTGCCATTGTGAGCATGACAACTCATGGTGTCCTTGATTGTGCAAAAAGGTCATTAAACTTTCCTCCCCTTTTCTACATGCATGTGTGTAAGGCTGAATTTTCTTCATGTGTTTCAACTTAAGCAACACATCACCACAGATAGAATGCACATAGAACTGAGAATCCAGCTGTCTTCTGTTCAGCTGGGCATTAAAAGGATTTGCAAAAATGTAAAACAGTGACACTCTTCCTGCTAATTTTTTTTTGTTTTGGAAAATATATTTAAAAAAATATGTTCTTTATGTTGTTATGCAATGGGTTTCTTATTGTCTTTTTTAATTATTTATTTATTTGTATTGATTGATTTGAGAAAGAGAGAGAGAAATGTTGACTTGTTGTTCCACCCACTTATTTTCATTCATTGCTTGGTTCTTGTATGTACCCTGACTAGGGAGCAAACCCACAACCTTGGTGTATCAGAACAACGCTCCAGCTAACTGAGCTCTCTGGCCAGAGCTGCTATTGTTATTTTTATTTATTTACTTTTTTTTTTTTAGAGAGAGGGGAAGGGAAGGAGAAAGAAAAGAAGAGTAACATCAGTGTGCAAGGGATGTATTGATCAGTTGCCTCTCACATGTCCCCAGCTGGGAACCTGGCCTATAACCCAGGCATGTGCCCTGACTGGAAATTTAACCAGTGACCTTTTGGTTCACAGACCGGTGCTCAGTCCACTGAGCCACACCAGCTAGGGTTACTGTTATTTTTAAATGGATCAAAGTTTCTAACGATTACTACAACTAGATAAAACTCACATAAATAAAATCTCCTTCAGAGCCCCAGCAATTTGTAAAAATATAAAGAGTACTGAGACCAAGAGGTGCAAGAAGCACTGCTTTTAAGAAACTCTCTTCTAGTTAGAGGATATGAGATGTGCCATCTATTCAAGTGTAATCTGAATTGTTTTCTTCTGTTACAGAAAGTTCTGTAGCCTACTCTGTGATTCCTTTGATTTCCTGTGGTGTGCTATAGTGATTCAGGGTAACATAAACTCAGAGTAACTTTTTTTGATAGACTTTTTAGTTTCATATTTACAGAAAAATTGAGGAAATAATCCAGAAATTTCCCATTACTGTGCATTCGGTTTACCCTATTATTAACATAGTAGTGTAGTGCGTTTGCCACAATTAATGAACTAGTATTGACACATTATTATAAAGCCCTTAGTGTATTTAGATTTCCTTAGTTTTTACCTAATGTCCTTTTTTGTTCCAGGGTCTTATGATGATTACCCTATTACATGCAGTTGTCATGTCTTTGTAGCCTCCTTTTGGCTGTGACAGTTTCTGAGACTTTCCTTGTTTTTGAAGACTGACAATTTTGTAGAGTACTGGTTAGGTATTATGTAGGATGCCTGTGTTAAAATTTATCTGCTGTTTTTCTCATGATCTTATAGGTGTTGGGGAGGAAGATCTCTCAGAACAAGAATTGTCATCATCATCACAATATCGAGGGCACATACTATCATTTTTATCACATGATATCGAGGGAATATGATTTATGGCTGTTGATGTTGACTTTGATCATCTAGTGGAAATAGTGTTTGTCAGGTTTCTCCACTGTGGACTCACTTTCCTTTTTATACTATAATATATACTTTGGAAGGAAGTCACTATACTTAGCCCTCACTCAAGGAATAAGTGTTGGAATATCTAAGTAAATTATTTGTAATTCTCCTACAAGGGAGATTTGTGTCTTCTCTCCCATTTATTTAGTCAATCATTTATTTATATCTGTATGGACTCACAAATACTTATTTTATGATTTTGGATATGGTTTACTCAGATAAGTTCTATAGCACCAAAGTACTATTTGTTGAAAGTCTCATATTCCTTAGTGTGTTACTGATGTTCACCAAAGCACATAATACTTTATTACCTTAAGTTAGAAATGCATGGAAAAGGCAATGCATATCATGAGTTTGGGGAAAAATAATATCTTTCCAGCTGCAGTGGTCAAGGAATTAGGGTGTTAAGCAGAATTTTGAGGAGTAGGTAATTGTTTTGCCACATGTCAAGGCAGGGAGAGTGCAGGGAATGCCCATGAAATGATGATTATATAATACTTGTGGTTGGTTATGTAGGGCAATGGTTTTTAAATTAATGTAGAGAGATTTTCAAAAGGCAAGGAAAGAAACCCTCCCTAACCTTCCTTAATCTTTTGTATAATTTATACTTGTTAGATTTTATTTGGAAAGAAGGGTAGATTTGCTTAGAAGAAACATTTGCTATTGGTTTTGGGAATAAAGGGAAATAGCTTGTTGAGGCTGTGATGAATCTTGAAAATGTATGCATCGCCTTTTCTTCCTGTATTGCTCTTTTTCAGGAAGCACATGACTTGAGGACAGTGTGTGGGAAAGACTGATCCAACAGCCCTGGCTAGTGTGGCTCAGTTGGTTGGGTGTCTTCCCACAAACCAAAAGGTCATGGATTTGATTCCTGGTCAGGTCACATGTCTGGGATGCAGATTAGGTCCCCAGTCAGGGTGCGTGCAAGAGGCGACCAGTTGATGTTTCTCTCTCACATCTCTGTTTCTCTCCCTTTCTCCCTTCCTTCCCTTTTCTCTAACCAATAAGCATGTTCTCAGGTGAGGATACAAACAAAGAGAAATGTTGATGCCACAGAGGTGTAGAGAGCTGTTGGCAGTGGGAGGAGACTGGAAGGAAAAAGACCAAGTAGGTGAGGCTTGCAGTTTGAGTTTCTGAGCTGACCTGGCAGCAGTGGTAAGAAAAATAGTATAGAAAATACGGTGGCTGAATTGTCAAGATTTGGATTTGGGAATATAAGGTAAAGAAAAATAGGTAACTCTAAGGTTTCAAGATAGAAAATACTATTCTGAAAACTTAGAAATAAAATCAGTGATTCCTTGTCAAGCTCCTGTTCAGTACAAGTGGGTTTAGAGTAGGAAATTTCCAAATATGCTTTCCAGGTAGGGCGAGTCAGGAAGGATCAGTTTGGCAAGGCCAGGACTTGGCAGTGATAGAAATATGCTAACATACTTCAGGGAGAGGTTGTTAACTCCTTTTGTTTTGCTGTTTTCCAACAGAGTTTTAGATTCGGTGTGGAAATAGCTTATGTGGGAGCTACTATCTTGGATGTCTGCAAGAGAGTACGGAAAAAGACTTTGGTTGGAGGAAACCATCTGAGTAAGGCTTTCAGTTACTTTTCTTTGATTTGTTACAAAAATTAGTTTTCTTCTTTATTTGTATTTGCTGTAGAGTTTGTGCTCTCTCCCAAAAGGTGGCATTAGAGGTGATACAAAGGGGCAGGTGGCCCTTTTGTCCCGGACCAATGCCAATGTGTTTGATGAGGCTGTACGGGTGACTGATGGAGAAGCACCTGCAAAAATACATTTGATTGGGGTAAGAGTAAATTTCTCTTGACTGCTTCATGCACAGAAACACTGCAGACAAACATAGCCGATGAAAACATTTAATTTAATTAGGATTATCATTCAAGCATTTGGGTTTTTGACAGTTTTCGCCATCTGTGCCATGACTGAAGTCTTTTTCCCTGAGCATTCTGATTATGCTAGCCAGACATTCATGTAAAGTCAGATCCAACAAGAACTTGAGGATCTTTTCTCCAACTGTTTAAAGAATAAATACCCTTCCCACTTTTGACTATATAAATGAGGCCACTGGCTATGTGTGAGTGTTCCAGTGTGTGTTGTTCATCAGTAAGACCCAGCGAGGCGACAACACAGCTGGGACAGGCTAGTGGGCTCCAGTGGGTAGAGTGTGTATACCTGGTTCTAGCTCGGGTTCTGTCACTAACTTTGTGTGGCTTGCGGCAAGTCACAACTTTTGTGTGCCTCATTCTCTCCATCTCTAAGATAAAATAATGCCTTTCCTTTACCTGTTTCACAGGGAAAGTAGGGTTCAGTGGCATGTGTGTGGCACTTTGACTTTTCGAAGTAAAGTTATATGACTAAAAGACATTCACACATTCATTTATGAACAAAATATTTTCTATGTGTAGGCATTTAGTAAATGTATTGAGTGAATTATAATCAGAAGATGTTCTGACTTCTCCTTTTTATTTATAAAGATTACATTAACCAAGTTAGAGGAGAAAATTCAGCCTTAATCTTAGTATTTCATATAATTCTCATTTTTGCTAATTGTTTGTCATTGTTCTTCTAGATGTATATTTTTACATTATTGTAATTATAGTATACATTAAAAAGTATGCTGTTTTAACTCAACACATAAGCATATTTTCCTTCATGTTACTACTATAATGACTACAGTATTTCACGTAGTGGGTATAGCATAATTTAGCCATTTTCATTATTGTAAGAAAATAGTACATACTTGGGGAGTACCATTCATGCTGGGCATGATATAATGTAAGTTGCTCTCTTCCCTTCTCTGTATCTACTTATCACTTATAGCTTGTGTCATTACACATGATCACATCTGATTTCCAGTTATGTATACTGTCTTATTTTGGTTTCTGTTTTACGTTAATGTGTTGTGTGTCCCTTCTCAAAGTGATGATAAAGGCTTTGACATATGTTTCTTCTGTACTGGGACCTGGTGCTGTGCAACTGCTTGGCCCCAGCCAGTGCTCAGTACACGGTTTCAGGTAGACTTAGGCTGAGCTGTGATACAGTCAGGCCCTCACCTCCAGGATCTAATACCCTTTCTAAACACAATAATCTGGACCTATAGACATTCTATAGTTCTTTTCTCAAAATAAGCAATGGTAAGTATTCATATTTCACTCTTTGTATTTAGATATCACTTATTCTTCATTGCAATCTTTTATATTCCTAGAAGGTAGGAATTTAAATTGCCCATTTTTGACAAGAAAGAATGTAGCTAGTTTCTTGGCTTTTTTAAGGCAAGAGTTTAAGGTAGCAGCTAAAACCGAGCATTTGGTAATTCTGAATTTCCAGGCTGCGTTATAGCCTAGTGCTTTTATGCCGGATGAAATTTGCTGCTTACTGTCCTTATGCTTTGGGTGCAATTTGAGATTCGTTTCCAAGAAACCATCTAATTTCAAAGATCACATCTCTGCATTTGTTTTACTGTTGTTAAGACAACAACAAAAACAAAACAAAATTAAAAACAACAAAAAACCTCAAAAATCCCACCAAAAAACTTTTTCAGGGGATTAAATCATTTGGATTGGACAGAATCATTGATATTTGGATCCTTCTTCAGCCGGAGGAAGAACGGAAGAAACGTGAGTACCTTCCTGGCCATGGCGCAGTGGACAGAAGCACTCCAGTGACGAGGGATGGGAGAAGGATGGGCACATTCTGAGTCAGAGTTTTTTAATTCTGGAGAAGGGTGGAGCTAGTGTTGCTCTTTTCCCATCAAGACTGGGATGCCTGAGCCTCCTGTTTTCTGAGGTACTGATAGCTTTTTCCAGATCCTTCTCTTAGGAGTCTTAATTCTTTTTCTATTGTTGGCCCCTTAGGCTGTCTTCCCTCGTCATCTTTTCTGTCTGCCTGGGGCAACTTTACACATTGAAACTTCTGCATGTGCCCCAAATGATCGTTGCTAACATTTCTATAGCACTTTTCTTTTCATTGCTGTGCTATTTGAAATCCCTGTGAAGTAGGTAAGGATCTCAAGGGTAGGGCACTTGATCCTCAGTTTAGAGACGGAGAGGCTAAAGCACAGGTCATTTCATTGACTTGCCCAGGAACACACAGTAGGTTAGTGATGTAGTCGGGACTAGAACCTGGATCTCCCAACCTTAAGACCATTCACTTATGCTGTTGGTTAGGAACGTGTAGCTTCTGCCACCATATGTCAGTGTAGCCTGTATCACATTAACTTGTGCCTGTATTTTTCTTAGGAAACCTCCTTATTAAAGACAGGTTTATTAGAAGATGGGTGCACAAAGAAGGCTTTAGTGGCTTCAAGAGGTATGTGACCGCAGCTGAGGATAAGGAGCTTGAAGCAAAGATTGCTGTTGTTGAAAAGTATAACATCAGGATTCCAGAGCTGGTGGAAAGGATAGAAAAATGCCACATAGAAGACTTGGACTTTGCAGGTAAGGAAAACAGTTCTTCACTTCCCACCAAGAAAAGGAACAGATGGTCTTCTGCTCCATCTTGCCTGTATAAATATCATGAGCGATCAGGGGGGACTTTGTTGTGTTCCTGGCATTGCCTAAGAGAAGGGAGCAGAGCTGCCATTGTTCCTTAGGGATCCTTTGCTTCTGCTCTACTTCCAAGCTGGTAGAATGGGACTTTCTGGTCCCAACTCTGCTGCTATGTGACTTTGGGCAAACCATTCACTCCTCTTCTGGGCCTCTGTCCCTTCATGTGTGAAGCATAGGAGGTGAGCCAGTCACTGTGAGCTCTGTGATGTGGTTTGGAGATGCATTAACTGACCTCCAATGACTTTTCTACTTTTCCCCTCATCTTTTTATTTTTCCCTTTTCCACTCTTTTTTTTTTTTTCTGACTGTATTTTCCCCTTTCCTCCTTTTCCCACAAAGCTGCACATAGGCGAGAAAACAAAGTTAGAGTTTTAAGGTTCAGTAGGAAGAGAACATTTTCCCCCTTCTCTTGTTTCTCTTCCTGTCCCTCCCCCATCTAATGCTATACTGTGCTATTATTCCAGAGTACATTTTGGGTACTGTGCACAAAGCCAAAGGCCTGGAGTTTGATACCGTTCATGTTTTGGATGATTTTGTGAAAGTGCCTTGCGCCAGGCACAACCTTGCCCAGCTGCCTCACTTTAGAGTTGGTAAGACTGGTTGCACTGAGGATCCTTTTTAAGAGTTGACTAGAGATGCTTCCTTGGGATGCCTTTCTTTTTGTTGGGTGATGTGGCCTCTTGGAAGGATTCTACTAGAAGAAAAAAAAGCACCTTCCAGTCTTAAAATTTTTTATTCATATACACATATTTTAGAAACTACTTCCAGAGCCCACCTCTCTTGGTGCTGCTTCTAGGGTAGTTATGTTTATAGTGTCCCTACTTAGGCTGCATCAGCTCTTCAACTTGGGGTTTTCACCGTCAGACAGCTTACCTGCTTACCGAGGTGGTTTTTTTTCTTTATTTAACTCTCCTTTGTATTAAAGAGGCCAGAAAATCATAAAAGGTTAAATAGTAAACACTGTATTATTTATCTGCTTTTGCATAAATTTATACTCAAAGCTAGTTGTTAAACTGTAAGCATCAGTGCTATTGCTTTAGTTTTAAATCTTAAAATTATTTGAAATTTTCCTACAAACAAACAAAAACTCTCAGTTAACTGTAGATTCAGAATTTGGGGTATAGTATACATTGGCGGGCTAAAATAAGAACACTAAAACTTCCTTATACTGATGAATATATTCATAAAATGAGAGAAAGACATGGTATTGAATATAGGTTAAAGTAGAGAGGGGAAAAATGGCCATAGAGAGTTAGTTATCAGTTGCTTTATATGGGGGAAGAGAAGTTTGTTTAATGTACTACCACCTTTTTTCTCCTCTGCTGGTCATTACATGTTTACAGATATATGCAATGGGCACATAGCAGGTATTGAACTGGTTCCCAGAATTTATTAGTAGCACCACTAACTAAAGCTCAGTATTTTGTGCCACTAGTCTATTAGTTTTTGTTTATTTTTAGAGTTGGTGTTTGTAGGAAAATTTTGTATATATAGCCAGCAAATCTTGAGTGGGTTTTGTTTTTGTCAGGGCTGGATGAGGGGTAGTTAACATTTAGATGAGAACATAAATTTTTGTGAGCAGGCTCTTGAATTGATATATTTTTTCCTCCTTTACCTTATTTTTAGAGTCATTTTCTGAGGATGAATGGAATTTACTGTATGTTGCAGTAACTCGTGCCAAGAAACAGCTTATCATGACCAAATCATTGGAGAACATTTTGACTTTGGCTGGGGTAAGAGGAACTAGTAGCACAAATTAGTTTACAACATTTGGATTTTATTGGGTTTGAATAAGGGATCCGCCTACCCTGGGTTGAAGGAAAAGGGCTTCTCTTTCTTGAGTGCACAGAGGCCTATTGCTAGTGCAGGAGGTGTCCTAACTAAAGAAACAAAAACATGGGTTCTTTTCTAAATTCTTTCCTAATTCAGTTTCAAAAGTTCTTTTAGCCCTGGCCTGGGGCCTCAGTTGGTTGGAGCATCATCCTGTACACCAAAAGGTTGCTGGTTCAATCCCCAGTCAAGGCACAAACCTAGATTGTGGGTTTGATCCCCAGTTGGCATGTATGGGAGGCAACCAGTCAATGTTTCTCTTTCTCATTGATGTTTCTGTCTCTCACCTCTCCCCTTCTCTCTCTAAAAATCAGTAAACATATCCTTGGGTGAGGATTTTTTTAAAGAAGATCTTTTAAAAAATATCAGCTGTGTTCATGTATTTTTAAATTCTCCCTTACTCAATTAGTGTTCAACATTCTTAGGGGAAAAAACACAGCAAGAATGTTTTCTGCATTTGAACTTTCTCCCTCTCACACTCTAGTTTGTCTGGAACTGGCAACTGCTGCTGCCACCAATAGACTTCTCTGGAAAGAACATGCCCTTGCCAGGCGAGAATGAGTATTCAGGCACCTGGCCTCTTGTCCTCTGCTGAAATGCAGAGAAGTGTCAACCCTTACCATTTACACCTGCAAACCAGCCTTCTCCTGCTCTCCCATTGCCACCTTCTTTCTGCCCTTCACGGGCTGGAGTATAAGCCAACTTTACAACCCTGTTGGAAATTAGAACAGAAATTTGAGCTAATGGTTACTACTTAGTCCATCTTTCCCTGAACCATAGATAATTAAGCCTGAAATTGAAAACTTAGATATAGAAGTTATTAAAAATACTCTTGCATCCTTAGCTATTTCCAAAAACCTTGTAAGATATTGTACTGCAAGATGATTTAGTCCAAGTACCATATTGTATGTTCTCTTAAGGAGGGGAGAATATGTGGAGCTGTAAAATCTAAGCATTGCTACTAGTGGCTTTGAACCTCTGGATGGGGTGGAGGTGTGGGAGAGCAATCATTTTTTAATAAATGGTATTCACCGTCTCAGCTCAGATCAGAACTCTGATCCTCAGACTTGAATATTTATTGAGTGCCTAATATGTGCCAAGCACATTTCTAGGCACTGGAGCTACAATGGTGGGCAAGGGAAATTCCTGCCCTCACAGAGCCCATATTGTAGGTGAAAAGACAGTCAATGAGTAAACAAATAGGATTTCTCTTCACATTTTGTGAAGGAGAATATCAGCTTAAAAGGGAGAAGTTTTGCCAGTCAATATTCCGTATGACCAGTGAGAACTGCAAAAGCTTCCTGCCTAGGACTTGCATTTTTATTGAACTTTCTTCTTCCAAGCCTCCTCCTCATTTTTTCCCAAATCTCTCTTCAGTCAGGCCTATTTGGCTGTAAGAATGTTTCCAGAATTGAAATCAGCTGCACGTTTTCCCAAGCAGTTTTGCTTCACCTGGGCCTCACCTTGTGTGACATTTCACCTTGTGTGGCAGCTCACGTGGCAGAGCTTCTACTGAAGACTTTTTCCTTGGTTGCATCCTCAGCGGCACCTGTGTCACCATTGGAGACAGCTTAGAGCAGAGCTCTGTGAACTTTTCTGTAAAGATCCAGACAGTATATATGTTTGGCTTTGCGGGTCATGATATCTCTGTTGTATCTGCTCAGCTCTGTTGTTCTAGTAAGAGAGCATCCACAGGAATTCATTAATAAACGAGCGTGTCTGCGTCCCAATAAAACTTTATTTACAGCAGGTACTGGTCTGGATTTGGCCCCTTGGTTGTAGTTTGCTGACCTCTGGTTTAGAGATAAGTGTGACTTTTCCTAATTTTAGGGAATGCAGTAGAATAATTATTATGTACAAATAATCTCTACCTATCACATAACTTTTTATATAAACTTTTATCTTGAGTATACCTGCAGTATGGTTTTCTCATAGAAATAGTGTTACATTATTTGTCTCTACATAGGCAGAGACAAATGTATTTGAAAAAATAAATTAAAATAAAATTTAAAAAAATAAATTTTCTTTAGGAAAAAAAAAGAAATAGTGTTACATTAGTGGTTAGCTCTGTAACAAATCCAAATTGTCAAGTTGGTAACTTTTTTTTTTAGATTTTATTTATTTTTAGAGGGAGAGAAGGGAAGAAGAGAGGGAGAGAAACATCAATGTGTGGTTGCCTCTGGCGTGCCCCCTGCTGGGGACCTGGCCTGCAACCCAGGCATGTGCCTTGACTGGGAATCAAACCAGCAACCCTTTGGTTTGCACACCAGCTCTCAATCCACTGAGCCACACCAGCCAGGGTTCATGCCGGTAACTTTTTTTTTGGAGGGTTAGGTCGTTTATTTGAAACATTTCTATCTTTTATAGGTAGTCCTGTATTGCTATGAACTTCCCTCTCAGGACTGCCTTTGCCTTGTCCTATAGGTTTTGGACTGTTGTGTGTTCATTTTCATTTGTTACAATTGTTTCCAGAAACTTTCTGATTTCTTCTCTTATCTCACTATTGACCCATTCATTGTTTAAGAGCATGCTATTCAGTCTCCATGAGTTTGAATGCTTTAGAGTTTTTTCCTTGAGGTTGGTTTCTAGTTTCAAGCCCTTGTGGCCTGAGAAAATGCTTGTTATGATTTCAATTTTCTTGAACTTCTTGAGGCTTGTTTTGTGTCCTATCATGTGGTCTATCTTTGAAAATGTTCCATGTGCATTTGAAAAGAATGCGTATTTTGCTTCTTTGGGGTGAGAGGCTCTATTTATGTCAGTGAAGTCCATTTGGTTTAATGCATTGTTCAGTTCCTCAATATCCTTGATGTTTTGTTTGGAAGATCTATGCATTTTTGTCAGTGGCGTGTTAAAATCCCCTAGTAGCAGTGTGTTGCTGTCTATATCTTTCTTGACGTCCTTCAAGATTTTCCTTTATATTTTTGGGTGCTCCTATGTTGGGTGCATCTGGGTTTACAGTGGTTCTCTCTCCTTGATGGATTCTTCCTTTAAGTATTATGCAGTGTCTTTCTGGGTCTCTTTTTATGGCCTTTGTTTTGAAATCTATTTTATCTGATATAATTATTGCTACCCCTGCTTTTTTTTTCCTGTCCATTTGCTTGGAATACTTTTTTCCGTCTCTTTACTTTCAGTCTGTGTAGGTCCTTTGGTCTGAGTTGGATCTCTTGTAGGCAGCATATGTGCGGGTCATGTTTTCTTATCCATTCAGCCACCCTATGTCTTTTGATTGGGGCATTTAATCCGTTCACATTTAAAGTTATTGATAGGTACTTATTCATTTTTTCCCTTTGTACCTGTATTCCTCTCTTTCTCACTCTTTTTCTTCATCTTCTTAAAGCAGTCCCTTTAGCATATCTTGCAGTGCTAGTTTGGTGGAGGTGTATTGTTTTAGCCTTCTTTTGTCTGGGAAACTCCTTATTTCACCTTCCATTTTACTGAGAGCCTTGCTGGGTAGAGCAGGCTTGGTTGTAGGCCTTTGCTTTTCCTGACTTGGAAGATTTCTTGCCATTCCCTTCTGGCTTGTAGTGTTTCTGTTGAGAAGTCAGCTGCTAGCTGTACTGGGGCTCCCTTATGTTACTACCTGTGTCTCCCTTGCTGCCTTTAGGATTCTCTGTTTGTCTTTGATATTTGCCATTTTAATGATGATGTGTCTTGGAGTGGGCCTCATTGGGTTCCTCTTGAATGGGACCTTCTGTGCTTCCTGGACTTGTGTGACTCTTTCTCTCCTCCAATTATGGTAGTTTTCCATCATAACTTTTTCAAACAGGTTCTCTGTCCCTTCCTCCTCCTCTTCTCCTTCTGGTATCCCTATTAGGTGGATATTATAACATTTCAGGTTGTCCTGTATTTCCCTCAACGTCTCTTCATTCTTTTCGAGTCTTTTTTCATTTTCTTGCTCTTTCTGGGAGCTTTTTTCTACCTTATCCTCCAGCTCTCTTATTTGGTCCTCTGCTTCATCTAGCCTGCTTTTGATTTCTTCTGCTGTGTTCTTCAGTTTGGAAATGGTTTTCTTCATTTCCCCTTGTCTCTTATTGATAGTTTCTATGTCCTTTTTCATGCTGATATAGTTTGCAAGTAAGTTCCTCATAGTTCCCTGTAGTTTTTTGTAATTCTCTCTGAGCTCAGTGAGCTCATTGAGTGTCCTTAGAACCATTGTTTTGAACTCAGTGTTTGATAGTTTAGTTGCCTCTATTTCATTTATTTCTCTTTCTGGGGATTCCTCCTTTTCCTTCAACTGAGGGGTGTCTTCCCATTATTTGTGAGACTCTTCTTTTTTTGCTTCTGCTTCTTAAATTGATCTGGCTTGACTTCCTGACTTTGTGGTGTGAACTTCTATGGTAGGAGACCACTGCTTTTTTCTTTCTGGACCTGCCTCTGATGATGTCAGATGTTGACCCCATCTGGCCTTGGGCAGACTGTTCGAGACTTCCAGGAATCTACTGTCTGTGTCGCATGCTGATAACTTTTAGTGGAGGTATTGTAGAGCAGTAGTATCACTTCACAACAGAAGTTAAATAGAATTTTTCTTTGAGACATTTAAAAGTTGAGAAAATTATATATTAAATTACTATATACAGATCATTCCTGTATATATTTGGGGTATGCATCTCTAAAAAAAAAAATGGGCCATCTTTTTTCATGGCCAAAGTGCCATTATCATCTTATAAAATTTATAATAATTTCATGTAGCCTCTACTGCCCAATACATAATCATACATTTAGTTGTTAGGTCTCTTTAAGTTTCTTACTATAGAGTGGTCATGACCTCCTTCCTCCTTTTTAATGCTTCTGGATTTTCACAGGATCTGAGTCAGTTTTCCTACATAAGGTTTCACATTCTAGATTTGCTTCCTTTTGTGGTTGTAAATCCAGGTATTACCTACCGTGGATTTCCTCTAACTGGAAGTTGGCCATAGAGGCTTAATTAAGTTTATGCTTAACTTTTCTGGCAGGAAACCTTTATTTGGGGGTCAGAGAGGGGCTTTGCTTTGTATTTCCTCACATCAGAACACAATGATATCAGGTTATCTCCTGTACAGTGATGCTAAGATTGTTCAGCTTTTTAATAAACAGAGCTGGGAAATCCATATTTTGGGGAAAAAAACAGCGTCAAGAGTTTATGCTGCTAATTCCAACTTTTCGTTTAAAGTTTTTGTGGTTAAATATAACACAGATGTAGAAAACAGATGTGCACTTTGCAGTTAGGATGATTGAACGTTCACCCATGTCAAGAGAATAGATTTGCCAGCCGTCCCAGGTGCCTTCCGTGTAGCCCCTCACAGTCCGCACCGTCACCCCGCCCTCATGAGAGTGGCTGCCGTCCTAGCTTTCACCCTGAGGACTTCTTTTACTTCTCCTCATAGTTTCTTCCCAAGTGTGTACCACTGACAATATGAGTAATAAAAACATTTTGGCACACGCTGTCTTCATCCATTTATTATTGTAAGGCTGTGCTGTGTCTGCATTGTCAGAGCCTGAAGCCATTTACACTTATAACTCTTATCAGTTATAGTTCTACAGTCGAAGTTAGATGAGCATTGAGGGGTTTTTACTTCTTTTACACTTGAAGCTTTTCTCTTACACTGAAAATCTTGGTTACAAACAGTATTTATTAATTGCTTATTTATACTATTCTACTGTATATACAAATTTTAAAATAATACCAATATTACTGAATACTGAATGGTATTTAAGATTTCCTAACAGCCCCATTTCTCCATATTCCCCTTAGGGTGTATAGTCAGAATATCATACTCTTTTTTAAAAATTTTATTTATTTATTTTTAGAGAGAAGGGCAGGAGGGAAGGGGAGAAACATCGATGCGTGAGAGAAACATCAAGTGGTTGCCTTTTGCATGCCCCAACCTGGGGACCTGGCCCGCACCCCAGGCGTGTGCTCTGACTGGGAATCAAACCAGGGACTTTTCAGTCCACAGGCTAAATGCTCAATCCTTTGAGCCACACCAGCCAGGGCAGAATATCATATTCTGAAAGCAATTGAAATAAGTTCTTTTTCCCTTATAGTTTGAGCATCAGTTTAACTACTGTTTGATATACATTTGTTTGTTTATAATTCCTATAAGAATTGCTTGGCTTCTTTCTGACTTAATTATCTTTTTTGAAAGAGGAGATCATTTATCTTTTCAACATCGAAATTCTGTAACAGATATATCAGAGAAGTCCCATTCCATCCCCTGTCCTCTTCAGATTTTGTCTCCCTCTGTCAGTAATAGCTTATCTTTAAGTTAGTTTTTGATTTATTCTTTAGTATTTCTTTTTTGCAAAAATGTATATATCTTTATATTCTCCTTTTTTCACAAAAGGTATCATTCTATTTACATTGTCCTGTATCTCATTTTGTCACTGAGAAACACTCATGGAAATCACTGTCAGTTCATGACACTCTTTCTCATTCCTTTGTACAGCTGAGTAGTATTCAGTGTGTCGACATACCATGATTTATGCAGTTTCTCACTGACGGATATGGGTTCTTTCCAATCTTTTGCTTTAATAATAATGCCACAATGCATAGTCATTTTCTATTCTTGCCTGTACATTTTGGGTGATACACTTCTAGAATCTAAATTTCTGAGCAAAGGATAAATAGATATGTGATTTTTCTAAATATTGCCAGATACTTCACAGAGATTGTATACCTTAGTGTCCCACCAGTTTATCTATGAGACAAACAGGTTTTTAAAGCTAATTGGAAGCTTATCAATTGGTTACTGCATACATTTTTGGGGAAAATGAGTTTTCTTCATAAAGAATATGGAATCTAGAGAAATACTTACCCCTCACCGAGACTGGGTTGGGAAACATCTGTTGGCCCCCATGGTGCTCTGTGGGAGCCCCGGATACATGACCCATTTTTGTGAACAGATGTTTATAAGTCTGAGAGACCTTGGGTGAGTTATGAGTACTTCTGCTTTTTTTTTTTTTTATCATAGCTTATGAGTCAGTTTGGGGACATCCTTTTTCAGAACTGGCTAAGTTTACCTTCTGCTCAGAGAGGAAGGCTATAGGGGACCTCAAAGGCTCTGACAGAGGGGAGCAGTGTTAATAATTTAGAGAATGTGAAAGCACATTGTGAACAGTATAGTCATACATGGTGAGGTTTTAGAACAAAAGTGAGCCACTGCTTTCTACTACATAGAGTGATAAACCATTTGGTCTCCCCTATAACCAAGAGTAGGCCAGCCAGCCTACTTTTTCTCTGACACTCTTAGAAAATCTGGCTAATCACCAGGAACCTTTTTGTTTCTTTCTTTATTTGAGGAAGAGAAGAGAGTCACCACATTATCGAATTATGAAGAGACATGGAGTTATGCTAGTTGCTCAGAGACAGCTTCTTAGCCTCCCAGAATCTTAGATTCTTAATCCAGATCTTACAGGCATATCCCTAAAATAGTGCCTAGCACAATGTTGATGCTCAGTGTTTGTTGAATGGATGAAAGCAGCATCTCCTCTCGTTCTGAGGCTGAACATAATCAGGCCTCAGATAAGACTGCATTGGTTCACATCCCAGTTCTTCCAGCTGGACAGTGTGACTTTGGTGAGCTGCCTATCGCTCTGTACTTCAGTTTCCTAATTTGTGAAGCTGGTATAACGGCACTGACTGCACCTCTCAGGAGGGAGATGAAGGGTCACATGGAACCAGTGAAATAGCTGCTTTACAATCCTTTAGGTAAAGCAGAGGGGACACTCTAAGGTGGTTAGTTGTCTCTCAGACACTGAATGCCAGCAGTGAGGTATCGAGGGGAGAACTGGCATTAGCAGCAGAGCTGTGTGGTCATGGCATGCATGTGCTCATTTCATGCATGTGCTCATTTTTTCAACAGTAATTTTTTTCTTTTTTTTTAAATTTATTTACTTTTTAAATACATTTGTCTCTGCCTCCCCACCACCACTTTCCCTTGCCCCTCCCTCCTTCCCTCCCTCAGCTCTTCCCGTTTGGTTTTGTCCATGAGTCCTTGCTATATGTTCCTTGACTTTCCCCTTCCCTTCCCTTTCCCTGGCCCCCCCTTCCCTCTTGTCTCTGTTGATTTCTTTTCCCTTCAGTGTTGCTGGTCATATTTTCCTTGCATCTTTGCATTGTTGGTTAGGTTCCGCTTATAGGTGAGATCATATGGTATTTGTCTTTCGCCCCCTGGCTTATTTCACTTAGCATGATGCTCTCCAGTTCCATCCATGCTGTCGCGAAGTTTAGTAGTTCTTTTTTTCTTTCTGCTGCATAGTATTCCATTGTGTATATGTACCATAATTTTTTGATCCAGTCATCTACTGATGGGCATTTAGGTTGCTTCCAACACTTGGCTATTGTAAATTGTGCTGCTATGAACATTGGGGTGCATAGGTTCTTTTGTATTGGCGTTTTGGTGTTCTTAGGGTATAGTCCCAGCAGGGGAATCCCTGGATCAAAAGGCAGTTCCATTTTCAGCTTTCTGAGGAAATTCCACACTGCTTTCCACAGTGGCTGCACCAGTCTGCATTCCCACCAACAGTTCAACAGTAATTTTGAGTACCTTCTACATGACAGAAATGCTGTTGAGTCAATTTAGCTTTGTATCTGGAGATGATAAGAGAGGCAGAGAGACTCTCTGTTGCTTGGTGATTAAGAGCACAGGCTGTGGACTTAGGAACACCCTGGTTTGAGCCTCCCATCTGTTGCAGTCTAGCTCTGTGATCTTTTGCACAAGTCACCTAATTTCTTGGCTCTTGTGTCCTCATATACACACAGGGGATGAGGGCAACATCACCCCCAGGAAATCATTATGTGTACTGTGCTTTATAAGCAAAGAACCTGACTGCTAGTAGAAAAGCAAGGCATTTAAAAACAAAACGGCCTGATGTGATTTAAGGAGGCAGGTGTAGGTGGTGGCATCATGTGCCTTTGAATTCCTGAAGGCCAGGGGTTCCAGGGAAGCTTTTCCCCCATGATAGTGTTTGCAACAGCTGGCAGTGATCCACCCGCCAGTGTGTAACACAGTTTGCTGTATGCCCTTCACAGTTCTTTGAGTGATGGTGTTTCCTCCCAGTTACTGGTCTTCGTACCTGTGAAAGTATTGGGCACCCAAGATGTCACTAAAGAATGTGGGTGGCTTAATTAGTTGATTTACCTATTCATTCAGTTGACAAATACTAATTTATAAAGCCCTGTTATGTGCCAAGCACTCTAGTTAGTGCTAGGAGGTTTTGGTAACAAAACAAGTAAAATGCTTTGTGATCTATGGAACTTATAGTCTAGGAAGGAAGCCACAAGCCAGTTTCAGGTCCAGCAGCAAGATTTTGGGAGCTGGAGTGTTTCCAGCTCCTTAGGTATAAGAGTTTCCAAGTAGAATGTGGCAGAGGTATTCCTATTATTCTCTTTCTCACTCTTTGCTTTCCAGGAGTACTTCTTGCAAGCAGAACTGACAAGTAATGTTTTAAAAACAGGAGTGGTCCGCTGCTGTGTGGGGCAGTGCAACAACACCATCCCAGTGGACACCGTGCTCACCATGAAGAAGCTCCCCATCACTTATGTATGTGGCCTTGGCTGCGGCTCTGGCTTTCTGTAGAATTTAATCCAATCATTTGTGTTTTATCACATGTGAGCTAAGTGTTTTCTGGGCTGTGAGTGAGGGAGGTGAAAGAGAAATTTATATGATCCTTCTCAGAGGCTTTTCATATATAAGGCACAAGAGATGCCAGGTCTATCTCTGTATCAGAGATGATGATAACGTAATTAGTGTGGGTAGCACAGGCTGAGAGGTTGGCTTGTGATCAGCACTGCGAGGGGAACTACTTACCTGGTTAAGTTGTTGTTGGCTCTTCATCCCTCACCTTAATAATTCCATTTTCTGCTATAAGAGAATTTGATAGAGTTGAGTCTACCCTAGATGACCGTGCAGTGGGAATTACAGTGGTACCTTGCTATTCGTCATAAATTCTTTCCAGAACTCACGACGAGTGCTGAAACTGACAAGTACTGAACAAGCAACGAGTGATGACGCATTTTCTCTTGTGGGACAGTGTTTTGACTTACCTAGCAAGTGAAATGAGTTCCGAGCAAGCCCCAAGGACTGAAACATATTTTTCTTGTCATAATGTGACGAGTAAAGTGTTCGATGAGTTCTGAAACCGACGAGTACCAAGGTATGACTGTATTACTAAGAGGTGTGCACAAGTCTCAAAATATCAGAATCATAATACACAGTTCCTTGGCAGTGTGACAGCAGTTCAGCACTTCTTGGTGGAAAATCCTTGTTTTTTGATTGTCCTTTTCTTTCTTTTCCTTATCCCTCACTACAGAGCAACAGAAAGGAAAACAAGGGTGGCTACCTGTGCCACTCCTGTGCAGAACAGCGCATCGGGCCTCTGGCCTTCTTGACTGCCTCCCCTGAGCAGGTGCACTCCATGGACCGCACCATCGAGAACATAGTACTGCCCAGACATGAAGCTCTGCTTTTCCTTGTCTTCTGAAAGCCAACAGGAGCATTCTCCATGGTACAGATTGCCTTGTGTAGACTTCAGTTACCTGAAGAAAGCTAGTGGGGTAGCGTTCTCATTCACCTGAGACTCTGAATTCACTCACAGAGCGTTTTTGAGGAAGATTAAGCCAACCAGAGTTGGACCTACTATTTCTCCATTCCTTGTAGGTTGCCAGTTTCCACTGTCCCTTCTCCAGGCACACAGCCTGGGCGTGAGAGGGATGTTCTTTTGATAAAAAACAAAACAAAACGCAACATTTTATGTATTTAAACTTTTATTACAAGGTTTCGATTAAACAAGCATTGTAGAACTGACATACCATTGTGTGACACCTGCCTTCAGCCCTGCTGTTCTGAACGTTCTCCAGCTTTCTCTCTTTTCCACTTACTGTTTTTAACAGCGCAGTCACTAATCACATGGCAGACCAAGCAGAATATGTGACTTGATATCCAGGGTGAAAATTGCTGCTTCAAAAATGAGATTTACATGCTGGGGAGACTCACACTTGTATAAGACATAATGTGTGCTTTTAACATCATGGGGTTCACAGTTTAAACAAGGAGGCAACATCATACAGAAAAAAATAATAGCTAGACTTCTTATGCTTCCCACAGGTAGAACTAAAGATTAGAAATACTTGAGAAGGAATTGGTGAAAGGGGTCAAAGGTAAAAAGATAAATAAATAAATACAGGCATTACTGAACACCACCAGAAAATAGCTTACTTTTATCTAGTAATTTGTAACCAAAAGAAAAAAAAATACTTCTGAGGGAAGAGGACAAGGGGTTGGGGTAGGGGAATGGGAATAAGTAGAAATAGAGAGTTGGTATGTGGTTGGCTGCCTAGGGATTTTGGGTGGTTTTAATAAAGCTGTTGTTATAGAAACCACTGAAAAATTCACATCGCTTAGATCTACATGGATCTGGTATTTTTACAATTTTGCCATGTATGGCTTCAGGAATGTAGATGGCAGATGAGAGAGTTGGCACATTATTGCCCAAAGAGTTTACCACATCTAGTGTCTGAGCCAGTTGAGCGGAGTCCGAGAGCAGACCTCATAGTTTCGGTTGTTGCAGTCATCCTTTAACCTCTTCTACATCAAGCCTCTATTGCAGCGTAGAGAGCAGGCCGGTGGTACAGGAAGGGTGCTCATGGATTGGGCCAGGGTGGTTGGAAAGGGTGAATGCCAAGTCAATGTTTGCACATTGAGGAAAATTCACAAAATTGGACCTGAAAACAAGTTTAATGAGAAGAGGGTTTCACCTACTTGGCTGGTATTCTTGGCCTAGCCCATTTGATGCTTATGGATAATGTGTAATAAAAGAGCAAGTGAAGGGAAGTTACTTGATTTTAGATTGGTCTTAGTATTCAGTGTTGTTCAAAAGAGTGGTTTGGGGGAAGGATGGCAAGGGATGGCTCATTAACACATTTCCTGCACATCTAGTTTTGCCAACCGGAGAGGAAGCAACTTACTTATTGGAGGACAACTCATTCATTCAGTGAACCTTCACTGAGCACCTGTTGTGTGGCAGGTGTCATGTTAGTGGGTATATGGAATCAAAATGTAGACCCTGACATAAGGAGATTGCAGTCAGTGTAATTGTAGTTGGAGGTGAAAAGTGTCATATATGCTCTGGGGATGAAAGTCCAGGGCTAAAGTCTTCCCAAAAGAGGATGGTGCTACCGCTGGGTTAAATAATAGCTACTAAAGAAAGAAAGAGTGTTCTGAGAAGAAGGAGCAACATTATGGGCACAAAGGATGTGTATGGTAATAGCCCTGCAAGAGCAAAATGTCAGTACTAGTATTTTGATACTTATTTTGAAAAGTAAAAGAATCTAGGAATTAATACTGATACTTCATTTTTAAGAATTAATACTGGTATTTCATTTCAAAATCATTTTTAAATAATTTTTTAAGAACCAGTAAAACTAAATATTTGGTGTGTTTCAAATAGAAAAGCATTTTTTAAATACCTAGTAAAAATATAAACTTTAAAAGTAAGTGTTAAGTGACCATTATCCTTTTAATATAAGTGATTAGATGAGAAGAATGAAAACGTTATTCAAAAAATAAACTTTTTAGCTACATAAAAATGAAAATCTGTTAGATCTTTTGAAAAGTATAGTCTCTAAGAGGCTCCCATGATTTAATTTAGTTGTGACTATACATGGGTGGGCATAAGTAGGTTTACAGTTCATATGGAAAAAGACATGAAGGTTATGTTTATTGCAATAGCTTTATTAACTGTTTTTGCAAACTCACAACTGTAAGCCTACTTTTGCCCACCCCTGTATATTTGTGCAAGATTTTCTGTAGTTTTTTTTAAAACACAGTAATTGGGAGAAAATAAGGAAAATAATTATAAGCTAGTTCTAAATATTTTTCTGTGGTTTACTAACATTTGAATAATTCCTTTTATTTGATAACTTAGAGGAGATCTTTTTAAATTTAAGAATCTGCAATATATTCATAGTAAGTTCTAGTTTTTTGTTTCAGAGAAAGCATTTTTGATTTGTCTTTATCTTCTTTGATTTTTATTATGTATATAGATATTCTGATGCGGAGCTACCCATATGAAAATAAATGTTTTGTCATATATCATTTGTTTAGAAGATATTTGCAATACAATAAAAATTATTCTTGAAAGAGAAGTATTAAAATACCATAGTGTATTGTAGACTATTAGTTTGTCCTTTCACATAATTATTCTCAAGACATATTTCAGATTTTAGATATTTTTAAATAATGAGGTGATGATATTAGACCAACCTAAAATATTGCTATATAGATCTTTTAAAATATCACAGAATACCAGCCACTGAAATTGCAGTCACTAAAGGCATGAAAGTACAGGAAAAGCTTGGGTAAATAAGGTGCATATGTGGCTAGCGTGCATGTGCAATAGGAGCAGGCTGGGGAGAGGGCCAAGTAATAAAGAGCCTTGAACACTAAGCCAAAGAGTTAGCGTGGTGTTATGAAAAATTATGAGGAATCTTTGAAAAATTTTAAGGCATGAGATTTTTTTTTTTTTTTAAGGAAGAACATTCCAGTTGTAGATTGAAGGATATTGTAAGGAGATCAGATAAATGAAGAGGTTAAGAGTTGTAATCCAGCAAGAAATGACAGCTGATGAGTTGGACCAAAGCATTTGAAGTGGGAATGGTGAGGAGGGGGTGGACGCATAGATCAGTGGTTCTGACAGTGCAGTCCCCGCATGAGCAGCAGAATTCTCAGTCCTCACCCCAGATCTGCTGGATCAGAAGCTGTAAGACTGAGACCCAGCAATTAGTATTTCACAAGATCTGTAAGTGATTTTGGAAATTTCTGGGTTTGTTTTTTTTTAAGATTTTATTTATTTATTTTTTAGAGAGGGGGAAGGAGCATGAGAGGGAAGGAAACATCGATGTGAGAGAGAAACATCTATTGGCCAGCCCTCATACATGCCCCAAACAGGGACCAAACCTGCAACCCAGGCACATATGGGACAAATCCCAACCGACTGAGCCACACCAGTCAGGGCTGGAGAACTTCTGCTTCTGAGATTAAGAGGCAGCATCAGTGAGACTGAGAGTGCTCACATGGAGATGGTGAGTTCGTGATAGGAATCTCAATAGGACCTTCACTTCTCTGGCTTGTTCTGCAGGGTAGGTGAGGGTACCTTCATTGGAACAGAAAATGGGAGATGTAGTAGGTGGTTTAAAAACAGTGATGAATTTTGTTTTTGACATGTTGAGTTTGGGGTGCTTTTGAGAAATCCATGTAGAATTGTCTAGAGGGCTATTGGGGTAATAGATCTATACTTCAACAGATTGCTTTGGGCTAGGAATAGAGGTTTTAGGGTTTTCAGTACATAAGTGGTAGTTACATACTGAAGAGATAGTTCAGTTTAAGGGTCTTAATTTTCTTTTTAAATTTATTGATTTAGCAAGAGAGAGAGAAATTTGTTCTACTTATTCATACACTCATTGTGTGTGCCCTGACGGGATCAAACTCACAACCTTGGTGTATTGGGACAATGCTCTAATCAATGGAGCTACAAAGCCAGGGCAGTTTAAGGGACTTGAAGAGCTTCTTCCTGCATATTATCAAGAATGAAAAGAGCAGAGGTCTAAGAAACAAACCTGAGGGACATCAGGCTTGGGACTAAAAAGGAAAGAGGATTTGGTGGAGAAAGTGACAATTGATTCCAAAAGACAGACATGCTACCAAATTTCCAGAGAGGAAAGGGTTTAAACAAAAGGGCCTTCAGCATCCAGTGCTATAGAGAGACGAAGTAAAATAAAGATGGACAGGTGTTGTTTTAACTGACGCTCAAAGTCAGTGGCAGCATTAGCATGGTCAATTTCAGTGAGGCTAGAAGCCAGACTGCAGTGGGCTAAAATGTGAGTGGAGGACTTTGGGTAATCTGACAGACTAAACATATGTTTACTTTGGTTGCTTCCTGAAACCATATTAAAATGACAGTAACAGGATTTTTTTAAAAAGGCCTAAACCAATAAGTGCAAATAAAGCAGAAAATAGATGACAGTCACAAAATTTTCAGAAGTTGGAAAGCAGATAAATGAGTGATAACTGAATTAGCTCATCAGAGAAAACTGAATCTTAAGCCCAAGAACTCTGAAAAGATGTGGAAATTGATGGCACCACGGTCTTCTGGAAGTAGGGTGTGAAAGTGGAGCAAAAAATCAGGAAGATTGGAAGACAGTTTATTTAAATCCTCTGATTTCCCCCCCTATTCTGTGTATCTTGGCAACTTCTTATCCTCAACTCTGGCAGAAGACTGGAGGGTTAATCTCTGAAGAGGATAAAATAGAGGAATATCTCATGTAAGACTCTAAACACGGTTAAGGACGGGCTGTATTCATTTAGGCTGTTATAATAGAACAGCACAGACTTGGCGACTTATAAACAACAGGCGTGTATTTCTCACAGCTCTGGAGGCTGGAAGTCCAAGTTCAAAGGGCCAGGAGATTTGGTGTCTGGTAACAGCTTGCTTCCTGCTCCACAGACAATCAACTTCTAGCAGTGTCCTCTTGTGGCAGGCGTAAAGAAGCACTGTGGGGTCTCTTTTAGAATGACACTAACCACTTTCATGGTGCTCCACCCTCATGACCTAATCACCTCCCAGAGGACCCACCTTCCAATATTATCCCCTTGGGGGTTAGGATTAACATGAATTTTATATGCACAAAAACATGTATGTACAAATTCATGCATGCACATATGCATGCAGACTCTAGGTAGGAGATTGACATTTCCTTCTCTAGGGAATATAACCAGCTTTGGCAGAAACACTGACAATGACATTAAAGGTTCCTAAGGAAATTGGCCAAACATATTGCCCAAGGAAAGAGCCTACAATCTTAAAACTCCACCCAAGTGCTCGATTTCAAATACGGTTTTAGTGCTTCACTCTTAAATCAGAGCACTAAACCAAGGATTGCCAAATATCTTTTTAAATATATTTTATTGATTATGCTATTACTGTTGTCCCATTCTTTTTCCCTTTTATCCCCCTCCACCCAGTACCCCTGTTCCCTCCAGCATTCCCCCTTTAGTTCATGTCCATGAACTAAGAGTTGTACACATAAGTTATTTGGCTTCTCCATTACCCATACTATTCTTAACATCTCCCTGTTTATTTTGTACCTACCAATTATGCTTCTTATTCCCTGTACCTTTCCTCTACTCTCCCCCTTCCCTGCTGAAATCCCTCTGTGTGATCTCCATTTCTGTGACTCTGTTCCTGTTCTGGTTGTTTCCTTAATTTGTTTTTTATTTGTTTTTGTTTTTATAGGTTCAGTAGTTGATAGTTATGAGCTTGTTGTCATTTTACCGTTCATACTTTTGATCTTTTTCTTAGACAAGTCCCTTTAACATTTCATATAATAAGGGCTTGGTCATGATGAACTCCTTTAACTTCACCTTTTCTGGGAAGCCCTTTATCTGCCCTTCCATTCTAAGTGATAGCTTTGCTGGATAGAGTAGTCTTGGATGAAGGTCCTTGTTTTTCATGACTTTGAATACTTCTTTCAAGCCTCTTCTTGCCTGCAAGGTTTCTTTCGCGAAATCAGCTGATAGTCTTATGGGAACTCCTTTGTAGGTAACTGTATCCTTTTCTTTTGCTGCTTTTAAGATTCTCTCCTTATCTTTAATCCTGGGTAATTTAATTATGATATGTCTTGGTACAATGTTCATCCTTGCTTGATGGATAAATTCTGGGGCCATAGTATGTTTTGGCATTGTAAAGGTTATTTAAACATTTCCCTAGAAGAACTATACTACCTGGTAAAAGAATTCCTTTTACCCCTTTAGGTCTTTGGGGAAAAAAATCCTGATTTGTTTATTTACTTATTTATCCACTCTGCCCCACCCTCCTTGGTCCTTTCAGACCTCAACTCCACCCCACCCTGCTTGCTTCCAGTCTACATCTAATTTTCCAGATCTAATTTTTGTCATGTAATTTACCCATCTTGAACTTTGTTGGTGACTGATGGATCATGGACTGCTTCTGTGATAGATCTGAACCAGTGATTTCAAAGCTCCTGTGTGGGCCCCCAGAAATCACCATACCACCTGGTTTTCCAAAGACAATGGTGAATTCAAACCACAAATCTATGAACTGGCCCTCTGACTTGGCCCTCTTACACTCAATGGAAACCTTTCAAAATTTGGTTCCACTAAACATCTGCCTAATATTTTATGTAAGTTGCATTTTCTGTCATATTAGTTTTACAAATAACAAGGGTAAAACTCTTAAAACTTCTCATAAAGAACAAACTGGATCCAGACTAGAAACTTGGGGGCAAGCAGGTAAGGGGTTTAAATCAAGTAGCTTCAGCACAATGAAGTAATTAAAGCCAATAATGAATAAAATGGCTCGGCTCACATGTTAGTAGTGGTGTTTTCTACTCATTGAAAAAGGTGTTTTTGTCACAGGTGGGCACAGGTAACCATGTTCTTGGCGATCACAGACAAAAAAATTGAACTGAACACAGAGTTTATAGCAGAAAGCGAGAGAAAGCAGATTTATTAACCCACATGGAATATAGGAGCAGGCCAACTCTGAGCAGAGCAAAGGTGAGCTGAGCAGAGCCGAGCAGATCCTAACAGTCCTGACCTCAGGGGCTAGAGGGTTTTTCTTTCTTTTAGGGTGGGTCTTTCCTCGTTAGTTTTGGCAGGCTTCTATTGTACATGTACAAATAGTTATATGATTTTAAAGTTACTGCGCATGTGGTCTCCCATGATTTCCTTGATTGGCTTGGGAAGGGGGTCCCACAATGCTAATTTATTATAATGTTCTTATAATGAAGCAGGGGTCAGGTAGCATCTTCTGTGCACGTGCATTCCTGATTCACTAGGATTCAGTGCTTTTCCAGATGCAGGCAGGAATTACTAGTGTTAGAACAGGGTCTCTGTCCTTTATCCATGTTCTTTATCTGAGCCCTGGGGCACCTCTAGAGTTTTCTCCGTCCTGACTACCTCCTGCCTCATTTGCAGGTAGTGAAAATGGTATGACTCTAAAATTCCCTGGACCAGCCATTTAAATTCCTACCCTTTTGTTTGCTTTTGACAAAACCGTCTAAATTGGTGACATGAAGAAGTTAAGAAGAAAGAACACTTTAAGAGCTTCTAGCAGAGCGTGAATTGGTTGCTATGCCCCGCCCTTGCAAATGCTTGTGAAGGCTGCCTGGCCACCCCTGGCTCTGTGATTGGGCAGCTGACGGCTGGTTTATATATAGTCAGGACTGCTACTCCCTGGCCCACCCCTCCCCATCCCAAGTTCTCTTCAAACTCTGGCATTAATTGAGCCAAGTGGCCTTGGGCAAGTCAACTTCTCTGGGCTTCAGTTCTCTCATTTATAAAATGAGGAGGTGGGAATAGGTCCATAATTTTACTTTAAAAATTTTATAAACAGCAAAGAAAGAGAGAAGAACAATTCAGAGCATGTGGGTACCAGGCGTATGTGGCCATAGCCTGCCACTTGTGGCTTCTCACATAGAGACTTCATGGGAGATTCTCTAAAACTGTGATCGGATCCAGCTTTAGGCAAGAATTTTTTCTCCTTGTATAAAAGCTGAGCTCAACCATTTGGGACTCAGCATTCCTGCTCTTTCTCCTCTTGTTTTTTTGTTTTGTTTTGTTTTGTTTTGTTTTGTGTGTGTACATTTCTCCTCAGTGATTCTGTTACTGCATTTTAATTGAAAATAGACATTTTATTTTTTTTATACAAGGTACAATTTCAAAATACAGGTCATATAATATGTATATATAATAGATAAGGGAGTATAAATATAAATGTATATATATGAAAAATGTCACTGAGTTCAGTTTTCTTTTTGAATCCTTAAATCAGGAGGACTCATTGGGCACAGTGGTTCTTTATTCCCTTTTCAATGAACGCAGAGCACCTTACTGGAGAGAGTTTTAGGAGCTGAAAACCTGGTATCATCCCTATAGATTTTTCCCAAGCCAGGGGGAGCCTACTAAGTTCACTTAGAGCCTCAGGTATGTTTCTTTTTGTTGTAAACTACAGGCCAAGAGGAAGGATGGAAGAGATAGTCAAACTGATAAACTATCCTGAGTGAATGCCTGTAATGAAATTAAAGCCCCGAGGCCTTCAATGGCTGGGACTTCGGTAACTCGACCTTATACCTGAGCCTGGCATGGAGTTTCTATCCTAAGCCTGGAGAACCTATTCTTACAGGCAGGGTCTAAGGTAGGCACAGTTGACAAAATGATGCCTGGACGTTTTAGCATCCTGGCAGCTTTTCCCTGGCGCTCAACCCCTTGAGTCTTTTCTAGATTCCCTCTGGCCAGAACAGAGTTGGTGCCTTCGCCCTGGCCCTTGCTGGCCCTGGTTTCTCCCTGGGGTTTCTTAGGTTGTGCAGTAGTTTTTTGTGTCCTCCTCTCCGCTGTTGGGTCCCCGAGTCATTGGCATATCTTCCATATTTTCCATTTGAACACTGAGTATCCAGGAAGTTTGCCTGTAAAGCAGATAATTGACAGGTTTTGAAAAAAGGAGTTGCCCTTAAATTCAGTAAACAGATAGTCCCTATTGAACACTCCCATGGAGAAAACTCCATTCACAAATATTGTTTAAGTTGCATTTGGGTATTTTTAATCCCCTCATCCACCAAGGATTTTCCAGTGCTGTTGGAGCAGCATCCCCCCCACCTTGCCAACTGTCTGCTAAAAAGGGGTAGTTTAAATGGCGAGAACAAGAGAGGGAGTAACTAGGAGCCCAGCTAAACCAGATGTGATAATCCTAATAAAAAAGATGTAGCATTTATAAAGCTTTAAAAACAGTTCATGGAATTTAGCATTAAATAAACAGACAAATACATTAATCATTTCCTAAGTAAAGAAGGGAAGGCGAGGCATAGCACTGTAATTCCATATTTCTGTCATGCGTTTTTAGGCCATGGGTATCTGAGGCAGCAATTTCTTTCAAGGACTATTTAATCCACCTCCTGGGGAAAAGAAGCAATTTTTAGGACATTTAAAAATAAACACTTTGAGCTTCTTGGAGGTTAACCAATTCGTAGAGATATATTTATGAATATTTCTCTAACATAATCTGTGAATATTGATATTTCTTATGAGCATTTTTATTGGCCATATATACCACATTTTCAAATTCTTTTTAAGAATATATTTTAATGCATTATTCTTTAAAAAGATTGTGTTTGTATTCCTTTTTACAGTCAATGAATATAGTTTCTATAATCTCTTATAAATGTAACTCCAAATATAGCATTTTTATGGAAATTACTATAATAATTTGAAAATCCTTTTAAAAGTCATTTATTTTGCCAGCATTTTAACATTTTTTGTTTTTTTGACAAGTAAATAATATGTCATTTTAGTTTGTTAATTTCTAAACTCTGAGGTTTATGGCACTTCTTGTTGGTTGAAACGGTATTGCCAGGATTTGAGGATTCATGTAAATTTTTATATGGTGTGTTTATTTTGGCTTTTACCATAGCATTACATGAAATGTTCACTTTTTTTCAAAGTTAGGCACAAAGGGTGGTATAGTTTTTATGTTGATATGATATTTAGAAAATAATTTTTTTTACTAGTAACTGAAAGTTTATTTTTAATGAATCCGATATTCATTCATTGTATAATGCTGAGGAAGGATCCAGAGCAACCATATTAATGTGGAGTGCCGAAATACTGGTTACTGATTGATAGAAGTATAAAATTAAGTCTGATATGCCATTTTAAGCTTTAATGAAAGAATGATAAAAATGACTGAAGACTAGAAAAGTAATAAAATCTGGAATTTTAGCAAGTGGCAGAAACAATCTTGTCGCAAATGCTGAAATGCAGAATTTCAATGATTAGAAATACAAAAGTAAGGTTGATATAAATGAGTATATTTATAAAAAGGTATATCCATATTTAATGTGTGTTCAAGAAGAATATATTCAAGACTGTACGATAAGGATTCATACAAATTGCATGTATATTAAATTGGTTATTTGGCACAGTCTTTCCTTTTGAGCTGGCTCTCGGGAGAATCAGCCCTGTGTCATCAGTTAGGTTCTGGGTGCCCCGCTGCTGGTGAGTGGCCTGCTTTGGAGGCGAAGGGCTCTCTAGGACTGGCTCAGAGACTGCTCAGCTCCGACACTCCTTGTGGCCAAGAGGGGCGGGGGTGAGAGCGGGAGCATGTGTCTCTTGCCAGGAAAGGGCCAGAATCATGACAATGAAGCTCTTCACTGAGAGGAAAGGAGTCTTGTCTAGTGTGATTTTCCTGTGCCACTCACCTTGATTTTTTGCACCAACGTACCAGAAGAAATACCGCACATACTCCACAAATCACAAAGGCAGGTATGGAGATTGCCACTGTAAAAGAAGAGAACTAAGCTGTTATGCTAAAAGTCCAGGTAGCATATTCATTTCCAAGAATCTAAAAATTCTTTACCATTTACTTTCCTGAAGAGAGATCCAAATGCCTTCCCAACCAGTTTATTGTGATTAACATTTCTTAATGTCCATGATAGTCAATCTATTCTATATCTGAGAAAAAAGTTCATTTCTTTTCCTCCAACGCTGCCAGTTCAAACTGTCCCCATTCATCTTATCCCATGTCCCCTGCTCCTAATCCTTGTGCTTCCTGAGCTGAGTGACATAGTCATGGGCAGGGATGGGAATAAGTCATGAGCAGGTCAGAAGCTGGAGTGGACGTATCAAGATGAGGAGGCTAGCACTTCATGAGAAGAAATGCTCGCTGCTAATTCCAAAGTCAGGAAAATAATAGATACGGCAAGGGTCCTCCTCAGTTGTCCTTTGACGCAACTTCCCCCTTTCTGCGGCTTTGCAGAATTCTGATTTAGAAATGATAGCTTGCAGTGCCATTTTTCTTCCAATTTCATTATCATTATTTATTTATTTGCTACTTTTTATGGCAGAGAAAGGAAGAGGTGTTTTAAGAGAGCTCTTATAGATGAGTGGAGAATTAGGTAATGCTTAGGAAAAGGAACAAAACATCTTCACTGAGTTGAAAGGAACAGCATTGAGTGGTGGGAGGACTTAAGGGTGGAGGGCTAGCGACCAGGACAGCATTTGAGATTTATTAGATGGGACCAGTGGAATCTTCGTGTGGAAGCAAAAGGCTTATCCTATGGGCAGGGTGAGCATAACTATTTTGAAAACACTTGTGTCAATAATAAGCTGCAAGCAAATTTGGCCAATTTGTCTTAATGTTATGAAATCTCCCTGCAAAAATCACCTAGCTTCCCCTTGTGCAAGATGACAACCCTGAACATCCAGAGAGCCAGCTATCTCACTGCGGACCGTGAGTTACACATGTCTCCTAGGCTGTTAAGCCTTTTAGACCTGTGCCAATACAACCAACACACAACCTTGTAGGCAAGAGTGAATTCCCATGATTCAGCCTTAAAAATACAACCCTCTTGAAAAACAGCTAAATATATGAATGGAGGGAGGAAATACCTAGATTCTGGGTAGGAGTGTAAAAGGGTACAGTTTTTCTCAAGGGAAATTGGCAACATAACAAAAGCTTTAGAGAAGACCATATCCTTAGACTCTCCAATTCTATTTCTAGGAATTCTAAGGACATGGGAAAGTACTGTATTTTGCCACATATGATGCACACCCACGTTTTTGGTCCTCACTTGCAGGAAAAATATCTTTCATTTTAATTTTTAAATTCAATTATTTACTTATTTATTTATTTATATTTAGAAACCAAACCAATTATCATATTCCAGGGTATTATTTTGCATACAGATATTGTTGCTTTCTAAAGTTATACTTTTAATGCATAAGCATAAATAAAAGAATTAAAAACATTTATATAGATATGGAATTAGTACTACCCATGTATAATGTGCATGCTTATTTTTCCCTAAAAAATTTGGACAAAACTTTACAACTTTACAAAACTACTTGTAGGAGAAGTAAGCATTAAAAACTTGTTCCAAAAGAAGGAACAGAAAAGATGGGAAATTAATGAAACATGTTTTGAATTTTCAAACTTAATATTACTCATCAATATGACTAAAAATCAGAAACCTTCAATTAGCAAAGATATTGCAGCCTATGATAAACTATTTCTTCCCATTGACTAATCACTTGGTGTGCATTTACTATTTATGGAGAGATTTATTGGAAAAAGCTAGCTGATGTAAACACTAGTTGTATTTCACAATGCTTCTTTCTGTTTCCTTTTAACGAGAATAAAAACTGCAGACTCAAACTCAAGTGAGAAGAGTTCCTGAGCCAATGATACAAACAAAGTAATTTGAATTCGGTGACTAAAACTCAAACCCTTGGCTTCTTTCTCAGTTATATCTGACAAATTTAGTAGAGAAATTGAAACCAGAGTCACTAAAGCAATGCACTAAGATATCAACTGCCAAAATTCTCTACACTTTTGTGTTTCCTAGTGGGGGAAGGTGCATGGATTCGAGAAAAAGGAACTGAAAGAGACTTGGTGAGAAAGAGGATGAGAGATGAGGATTAGAGCCTGGGAAAAGGACGAGAAAAAGTGGATTATTGCACAGGAGGCCAAAAGGTCAGTGCTGCCTGCCTTGGGTTCACCCTACAGTGCATGTTAGGCCTGAGGCTGAAAGAGGACCTAGACAGCCAGTGGCCACTATTGAATGTGGATGATGAAATGTCCTTTGTGAATATACAGGGCATTGCCATTCCTTAGCAGTAGCTGCAAACTAGGTCATTCATGGAGTAGTACGTATTTCTGATGTTGCTGTGTCCAGAGTCCTTATGTGTTTGCATTTGATGAGGGCAATTTTGAAGTAAGAGTGTCAATTCATTATGCCTGGGCAGTTTTCCTAGTTTCTTTTCTCTTACTGTACTGAGCACATTCTAAGTGTTGGGGTCAGAGTAGATACTCAATCAATATTTAATTGATTGAATTAAACCTATAACATTCCATAAATTGAAGTATGTACATTTAAAGTACCATTTACACTTTACTTGGGGAGGGGAACACACAATACACTGTACAGATGACATATTGTGGAATTGTGCACCTGACACCTGTATAATTTTGTTAACCAGTGTCACCCCAATAAATTGAATAAAAAGGAAAAAGTGTTTTAAAAAATAAAGTGCTATTTGCTTTTTAATGAGAAATTTGCCTTTCATTGCAGTTTAGGACCATATCTGGCACAAAATAGGACCTCAATTTACATTGACTGAACAGATGAATGACAGAGTAGCAGCTCCTGCTAAAGGCCAAGGATACTGAGTATGGCAAACTTATTTCAGATGTGCCAGACTGGAGCTATAATACCTTCAGAAAAAAGAACTCCTCATTCCTGGTGTATTAAGTGAATATGGCTATGTAAATGCTATGATAGGTAATATTTTTGGCCTTTTACTTTACAATTGAGACTTCAAAAATAGCTTAGTCAAGAATCAGAGACCAGGTATTGGAATACTTGAATAAAGATATTGACGAAAAGGGCTGCCAAGTGACGTAATAGATATTTAAAGCAATGAAATAATGAGTTAAACTTCTGGCCAAGATGGAAGCATGGGTAGATACACTTTGTCTCCTTGCACAGCCAAAAGAAAGACAACAAATTTAAAAACAAAAACAAGCAGAACTGCCAGAAAGTCAAACTGTATGGAAGTATGACAACCAAGGAGTTAAGGGAGAAACATTCATCCAGACCAGTATGAGGGGCATCAACGGACAGCCTGGGAAGAGAGGGTGCATAGCACAGCAAGGCAACGGCTGGAGAACTGGGCCCACGAGATCACAGCTGGTGGTACCACATTTGCATGAGGACAAACCGGGAGGAGCATTTGGGGAGCTAGACAGACCGTGTGACCCAGGGTTCCAGCGCAGGGAAAAGAAAGCCTCAAAACCTCTGGCAGTAAAAATCTGTGGGGGTTGCGGCAGTGGGAGAAACTTCCAGACTCACAGGAGAGTTCAAGCGGCCTTTGGGGTCCTAGAACGTACAGAAACCCATCCCCCTGGGAATCAGCACTGGAAGGGTCCAATTTGCTTGTGGGTAGCAAGGGAAGTGACTGAAAGCAGGGTAAGAGTGGAGCAAGCAGCATTGTTCCCTTTCTGATCCCTCCCTCACATACAGCACCACAACACAGTGGCGTGGGTTGCCTGCCCTGGCGAATTCTTAAGGCTCTGCCCCGTCCAACTTTACAAGTGTGCTGAGACCAAGAAATATGGCCCAAATGAAAGAAGAGATCAAAGCTCCAGAAAAAGAACTAAGTCATAAGGAGATAGCCAACCTATCAGATGCACAGTTCAAAACACTGGTAATCAGGATGCTCACAGAAATGGTTGAGTATGATCACAAAATGGAGGAAAAAGTGAAGGCTACACAAAATAAAATAAAGAAAAATTTACAGGGAACCAACAGTGAAGGGAAGGAAACCAGGACTCAAATCAACAATTTGGAACATAAGGAAGAAATAAACATTCAACCAGAACAGAATGAAGAAACAAGAATTCAAAAAATGAGGAGAGGATTAGGAACCTCCAGGACAAGCTGAAACATTCCAACATCCAAATCATAGGGGTGCCAGAAGGAAAAAAGGAAGAGCAAGAAACTGAAAACTTATTTGAAAAAATAATGAAGGAGAACTTCCCCAGTCTGACAAAGGAAATAGACTTCCAGGAAGTCCAGGAAGCTCAGAGAGTCCCAAAGAAGTTGGACCCAAGGAGGAACATGCCAAGGCACATCGTAATTGCATTGCCCAAGATTAAAGATAAGGAGAGAATCTTAAAAGCATCAAGAGAAAAGGGGAGAGTTACCTACAAAGGAACTCCCTTAAGACTATTAGGTGATCCTCAAAAGAAACCTTACAGGCAAGAAGGGGCTGGCAAGAAGTATTCAAAGTCTTGAAAAGCAAGGACCTACAAGCCAGATTACTCTATACAGCAATGCTATCATTTAGAGTGGAAGGGCAGATAAAGTGCTTCCCAGATAAGGTCAAGTTAAATGAGTTCATCATCACCAAGCCCTTTTTATGTGAAATGTTGAAGGGACTTATCTAAGAAAAAGAGGATCAAAAACTATGAACAGTAAAATGACAAAAACAAAAAACAAAAAAGAAACCTCACAACTATCAATGACTGAACCTAAAATACAAAAACAAACTAAGCAAACAATTAGAACTGGAACAGAATCACAGAAATGGAGATCACATGGAGGGTTATCAGCATGGAGGAGGAAGGGGGAGAATAGGGGAAAAGGTACAAGAAATAAGAAGCATAATTGGTAGGTACAAAATAGACAGGAGGAGGTAAGAATAGTATAGGAAATGGAGAAGCCAAAGAACTTATATGTACGACCCTGGACATGAACTAAGGGGGGGAGGATTGCTGGTGGGGGGTGGGGTATGCAGGGCAGAGGGGAATAAAGAGAAGTAAAAAATGGGACAACTTTAATAGCATAATCAATAAGATATACTTTAAAAACTGATGAGTTACACTTCCTGAATATTTATTTAAATGTTAAAGCCCTCAAATTCACTTACCCATTTGTGCATTTATTCAATATTTATTCAGCATCTACTAACCATTTTCTGTAGAACTAAAAACAGCAACTTTAAAAGCTGTGATACCTTTTATAACCTTATTTTTAAAAAAACAAATTATGATATTGGTAGTGGGCTGATTAAATGGGCTGATTAAAGTGTTAAGTAAACATTTACTGAGCAACTGCTATGGTAAAGCATCATTTATATTTTCTTAGAAAGATGAACTCAACTGGCTGCTTATTCATGTGGAAATAGCAACACCCACCTATGCCAGGGGCACCAGCGAGTACCTCTGTCACTGATACCTGACCTGGACCTACTCTGAGGTCTTAGGTGTCTGCAATTGTATGTGACATACTTTGAATGCATTATCACTAAGTGTTTTTGGAAAATAAGTATGCTTTTCATTTTAGCGTTTACCTTCTTAGCAGATGAAACTCCATACATAATGAAATCTATCTAGTTTTCTTCTCCTTGATGAAACTACTTGCTCTGTACTATAGTTGGTGACATGTCTATCTTTATATTTTAAGTAACTTAAAAGAAGTTCATTTTCATATAATATGAAAGGTTTAAAGCTGTTTTTTTCTTTTAAATCTTTGTATTTTAACAGTTCCTTGCATATAGCTATGATTGTCTATTGTACATATTTAGTTAATGTTTATTATATTACATTTCAGAATTTGGGAGTGAGTTTCTCATAGTTTAATCCTGTGAAAGACATAAATTGGAAAAAATATTTTATAGACTATAGCCCATAATAAAATAGTTTGAAAATCTATATAGAAAACATGGCCCCCAAATTTTATGCATAGAATTTTATCATATAGCTATACTCGCATATATGCAAAACAACATAAGGTTTTCCAATTAATCATTGTTTGTAATATAGCCAAAGAATGTAAGCAAACGTGTGCAAACAGGGGTTTGGCTAAATAAATTATGGTAAATTCATGCTATGGAATATTTGAAGCTGTTAAAAAGAATAACATGGTTTTATGTATTGATGTTATATATCTTGGAGTGAAGGATCTCCAAGATATACCATTAAGTGAAAACAAATAGGGCGCAGAACAGTGAAAATAAAATATCTAGCTGGCTAGCATCACCCATCCTCTCTGTAGTGTCTACGCCCTGACTTTCTCTGAAAAGGCCCGCAGAAACCTGGGAGCAGGAGTTTCTTCCTTCCAGCAAGGGGATATTTTAGACAGAAGGCTTACTTTTTACTATATATATCCTTTTGTAATTAAAAAAGAAATTCAAACCAGGGGCAAATATTAGCAATTTAAAAAATGAATAAAAATTTTAAAATTTTGTGCAAAGATTAATGTAGTATGTGACATAAAAAGAAAAATGAGCTTGGCTTCTTTATTTATTGGTCTCCTTTTAAATGATAAACATGTTTTTGTTTCCACATCCTTGTTATTAAATACCATAGTTTCTCTATGAAAATACTCTCCGAAGAGCCTTTCTAAAATGTCTTGCCTTTGTATATATGATTGATTTTTAAAAAACCATTCTAATCAATGAACTGCTGAAATGTTCAAAGCCACCTGTTTTCTTTTCAGATGGCACCAATGCAGATAAAATGTAGTCACAAAAGTATCGATCCTTCTCTAGCAGGAAAACTTGGAAATTGGAAATAGAAATCATTTTTGCCCATGTGAAATTAGTAGTTTTTTGGTTCATTTGAAAACCTGTCAGACAAAAGTATTAGATCCTTTCTTACTACTTGCATTTCTCTCTTTTTCTTCTCTTTCTCTTTTTCTCTTCTTTCTTCTGTGAGCTCTCCTCTCCTTTCATGTTTTTCTTTTATTCTTGCTAACACTTTTTCATTTTCCGCCTTACACTTCCTGGGACATTCTCTATCTCTTAGCCTTAGTATTCTGTATGTCTTCTGTAAAAAAGAAGTCCTTCTAGACTGAGAAATTTGTACAGTCTGGCTGTACGTACAAGGTGCTGACTCTCTGGGAGAGTAGTGCAACCTACGTGTCAGCAGGAAAACATCCTCTCCGTGAAACCAGCGCTCACTCGTGGCTTTCTAATAGTTCCGGTAGCAGAACTGAATTGCTGAATAGGACCTTTTCATGATGTGTCTGCTCTCTGGTTTCCCTATCAGGAGCCTGACAGTGAGAAGGTAGCAATATAAAGACAGTGATGTTAACTAAAGAATTCCATAAATAGGGTGACCATGTAACTTAGCCTCTAAACAAACACTTTTGAGAGTGAAAGGAGATGCTGGTAGTGATCCTGCCGGGACAATAGGCACAAACCAGGGCTGTTGAGCTTCCTGGGACCGAGGTCCTCTGAGCATGAACACTGCCATGACAAAGGAAAACACTTACCAGCGATGGCTGTGGCATTGTATGAATATGCACCTGCAGAGAAGAGGTTGCAGTTCAGTTATGACCGTAATCCTAAAGGCACTGTTCTCATCAAGCAGGGGAAATTCTGAGCAATTTGGTTCCCATCTTAAAGCCTTCAGAAATTCATGGCTGGCAAAGCCAAACTCATTTTAGCAAAGAACAAGCAAGGTAATTATTTCTTTTAGATGCTGAGCCACACTTAAGAATCAGATATGCCCTTACAAATAATGAGGGGTAAAATGGGGACAACTGTAGTTGAACAACAATAAAAACAATTTAAAAAAAGAAAAAGAAAAAAATGAATCCAATATGCCCTTACAGAAGATACGGATTACTGAGAGCTCTTCCATCCCACAGAGCGTGACTTTGGGTGGTGGAAAGCTTCCTCTGCCCTCCTATATTGCGAGGAGGCAGATATTACTCAGATTCTTGGCAAATCAGGTTAATACGGTGAGCCTTGTCACACATGGGAGATGGACTTTCTTTTTTCACCAGACTGAGCCAGGGTAGAACACAACACATAGAGACCAGAGCAAGAAGGCTGTAGCAGACAGAAAGCAGGTGGTAGAGGGTTGCAAAATTGTCCTGACTTTGGATGGTGTAATGTCATGCAGGCAGAGAGCTGACCTCTCCTAAAGTATGCAAAGCCAGTGCTAACCTGGCTTCTCCACAGAGACAGAGGGAGTGTGTTCCAAGGCCTTTGCCGTTGTTTGAGAATGGTCTTGGGAGGGCTCATTCCCAACTGTCCCTGTGGTTTCTGTAGAAGGAGGTTTTGGTGGCATCAGCCTGGAGCCCGGTGCAGTAGTTGGCTTTGTGGCCATCATGGTGTCTGACTTGGAAGTGAAAGCTGGCTCTGTAAGAAGGCGCAACACATGGAGAACATAAATGTTTAGAATAATCACTCTCTCAGCTCCAGAAGACAGTGAACTGAATACCGGCAGTAATGAGCCCACCCTGGGCCAGCCCTCCCCCAACACACTGTTCCATGGCTCTTTACGAAAATCCCTTATTGGCCACAGACTTTTGAGAATGCTAGAGGATCTACAGTGACGTATCATGGTGCATGTAAGTTAAATATCCCAAAGATTAGAGTATAGCTAGGCTTGTTTACTAGAGAAGGCTGATCTCAAAAAACCAAGTGATACTATATTTGCCAAAGACATCTGCGATGCTGATTTTAGATTATTTCATACGCGTTTTCACAAAACTTCTAAATAAGGGGAACCCTGAGATTCAGCCCATCTCAACTATAGAGTGTATTTGAAGAATGTCCTGACTTTGCCCCAGTCTCAGCATTTTTGGTTGTCTGACCACACTGTTTGGGCCACTTTTCCAAGTGCTTTGAGACACAGATGCTGGGAGAAATCATCATGCCCTTTAATCCTTTGTTGCTTCCTCATACCACCCAGGCTGCAAGCACTCCAGGTACTTTGCGGATAGAGTTCCCTCAGAGCGTACTCATCCAAGTGCCCATGGCTACGTCACTGCATCAAAGATGACACTCTCACATCTGAGATTACAACTGTGCAGTTTCATCTGATCACGTGTTTGGCACATGAAGGCAGGACTGGAAGAGGCCACTTAATTTTTCTCATCAACTGGGTGAACCAGATGTGACTCTGATCAAAGGAGCTTTAGAATTACCCCAAACTTAAATATACCCAGTACCTCAACCTCTTCCTTCTGTTTGCAGCCAACTAACAAGGAGGAAACCCTTTTCTGGCCTCTCTGTCCTCCCTTTAGCAATGGTTCTCAGCCTTGGCTACCTAAGGCTACCTGCAGAGCCTCTAGCATTCTAATTCCCAAACTGCTCTCCAGAGTTCCAAGATGATCTCAGTGGGCAGCCAAGTTTAGGTACCAGTGCCCTTGGAAAGGCGTGTCAAGCATGACAGGATGACTGTGCCTGGAGGTGGGGAGACAAGGGCTAGGAAAAGCCACAAACTGGAAAATGGGACACAAAAAAATCAAGAGTTAAGTGTAAAGTAAGGGTATCATAGGATACAGGGCACATTGTCCACGATATTTGGCACCCAAGGTTTTGAATTTTCTTAACATTGGGACAGTGCTGAGGAAATTGGGATAGGTGACTACTTAAGACTCAGTGGAAATCTGGGACATAGGCAGCTTTGTGTGATGCTTCTACACTACAGCCATCATAGTTAACTTGCTGTGGTTAGGACTGCTGGGAGGCAATTCGGCATGGGTCTCTTACGTTTCTGAAGGTCGTTTCTTTCTTTGTTAACCTTTACAGAGCTCCTTGTAGGACAAGAACTCATGCCTGTTTTTTGTTGTTGATTAAAAAAATTATTTATAACTGACATGACAGTATTATAGTAGTTTCAGGTGTACAGCATAGCGACTCAACGTTTACATGCTTTACAAAGTGATGGCCACAACAAGTTTCTGATCTGGCAGTGTTGTGTTTTTGCCAGTACCCCTGAAACTGTGGTGGGCTAACATGTGAGGCAGGCAAAATCCCAGATCCTCCCAGTTTTGGCGAGGACAGCAGTCTGCAATTAAGTTAGATCTGACATACATAGTAAGAGTGAATTTCAAACCATTATTAATCATGCATATATAAAACATGGATATCAATCACCTTTGATTTAAAACAGAAAATTAAGCTAAAGTTAAGTTTTTCTTCTTGACTTTAAAAAAATTTTTTTTTCTATTATATAACTTTGTAGTCGAACTCCAGCTGTGGTCCATGCATCTGAGGGATTTGTGGGGACCTGAGTGTAAAAGGGAATGAAAGTCCTTACAAAGTTTCCAACATTCCTACCTTTTCCAGAAGGGGAGGGGCTGCCTGGCTCTGGGGTCACCCCCGCTGGTGCTACTGGGGAGGAGGGCCTTTGGCGCATCAGGGAGGGGTCTCCTAGGGAGAGGACAACCACAAGGCAATTATGATCTTGAGGGTGGAACCTGGGGTAGCTTCAGAACTGGATTCAAATAAATATATGTATTTCAAACAGATACATCTAGCTTCCTAGGATAGATCAGAAGCACAAAAAATAAACTACAATCAAGTTTCCCCGCCTCCAGTTCTCATGCCAATGTAAACACGGACTGCGATCAGAGCAGGCAGCAGGTGCATCAGCATATTTGCATCAGTTCCCTCATCCCCAAGCCCCACAGGGGCAACATGGTTGAGCCTCAACAGATACATCCGGCAGGTTGCATCACAGCAGAGGAGGCCTGAGCTCAGGAAACCTGAGTCTTTTATTAATGGCATCACAATGTCTGCCTTTTTCCTAGAAGGAAGTGCTGTCTCCGTCTTCCAAGGCTATGTGTATAAGCATCCTTGAAAAGATAGTCCAGGGAAAAGGTCTGCCAGTCCTCTGCGTCAGGGAGGAGGCTCCCTCCTTGCCCTGCCTCCTATGTCTGCATGACAGTCATGCAGACAGAGCGGAGGGGCCACCAGGTGATCTAAATATTACAAGTTCAATGAGAAAGGCTGGCTCTCCAAGGAGCCCTACAACAGAGCGAGTTTGCTATGGAACAACCTCTTCTCGTCCGCTTCCCCCATGGAGAAGCTGGGAATTTTCACAAATGTTATATGAGAAGGTATCTCGCTCACTGCTGGACATATACCAAGTATGCAATAAATGCTAGATCAGAATTCTCTTGGAAGACTGTGGGTCAATCTTTATTTTTCTAGAGTAAGGGGATTAGTATTTCTGGAAATGGCACAATTTGGTTTCCGTGGAAAGATTATGTCGCTCCTTCAGGCATGGTTTTCCAGCTGCAGATGGTTTTTGAAAAACTGATTCTGGCAACTTTCCCTGGCATTTGCGCTGGAGCACTGACTGGACACCAGGCTTGGGTGACTGAGTTACGGGAATCTGTGCCAGTCTCCTGGGGTAGACACCAATGGAGAAAAATGGCAATAATTTCCCTGCTGGCTCTCTCCTAGGGAGAAATTGGAAAGCTCTCTGGGAAGCAAGCATGCTTGAGCAGACACCCTTGTCTGTAGCCCAATTCTTTCTACCATAATCTTAAAGCATTCATGGTAATAACGGTTAATATTTACCAGGTTTCACTTACTCTTCCTCCAAGCTACAATGTTGACATCAGGTTCCTATTCTAGACGAGAAACCTGGAGTTTTGAGGCATTAAGGCCCTCACCCAAGGTCTCATAGATTTAAGTAAGTGGCAGAGCCAAGATCTGAACCCAGAATTGTGTGAACCCTCCTCCCCCCACCAAAGCCCATGTACTTCCACCTCTAGGAGGTGTTGTTCAGGGGCCCGTTGGTTTGTTTAGCCTCAGGCCTCAACACAAATCCTTAGGCCTCTCAGATGGGCTCATTTAGTGACCCATGTTGCAGCATTGCTGTCTATGTGCCCTTGGCAAGGGTATAGGGGATGGATGGGGCAGGGACAGTTACTTACTGATGCACTTGAGACTGGGAGTTGTCCACTGGGTAATGTTTGTATCCTCGTTATGCAAGCACTTAGTCAGGCTGGATGTACCAGCTTTACGCTTGAAACCAAAGTTACAAATATACCGCTCCCTGGAGTTCTCAATGTAACTCTTGACCCGGATGTTTGCATGTTCAATATATGTGGGGGTAGAGCATGTGGCACCTGCAAAAATACAGATACGAGGGGAGAGATGAACAAATTTCAGCTTGTTCAGAAGCCTTCCAGAAAACTTGCCTTAGGTGCCAGCCTTTCAGCATAGCTGGAGAGAGAGGAGTTATGAATGAAAACTTCCTTTGACTCACCCTTCACTTCCCATGTGTCCCCAACCTCAATCTCTCTCAAAGGGATTTATCTCTGTCCTTCTCTTCTGCCTCATCCATACCAAGCCTCTGAGCTCTCTTGCCTAAATGAACCCCAGCAGCCTCTAGGCAGCCAGCATCATCTTTAGAAATGTGTATATCATGGCTTCACTCTTACCTGACTTTCTGCTGCTCTTAGAATAAAAATTAAAATCCTTACATCTTCAAGAATCTTCCAGAAATGGCCCTGCCTGCCTCTCTAGCTACTCTTTCCTGGCCACATGAGCCTTTGGTCTCTCTATGCCACTCACCAGGCCTGCCTTCCTCCTCTCACCCCGCTCCTGGCTGGCCATCTGCCGTCCTTCCTCAGGAAAGTCTTCCCTCGCCCGCACAGTCAGCCAGATTGCATAGTTCTGTGTTCTTTCCTTGTGCAGTTGTCTCATGGTTACTTCTAAGATATTGAGGTGATATAATGAATCTTTGCCCCACCATCTGCACTGCAAGCCATAGAAGACAGGGGTCACTTCTGTTTTGTCAACATTGTATTTCCTGAGCCTAATGCAGTGCCTGGCAAGAGCAGGTGCTCAAGAAATAGTTGTTCAAAGAATGAATGGATGAACTGTCTTCCTCAACGCCAGACTGAAGTCTGGCCTTCTAATAAAAGGCAGGATGAATTTCCCTAGATGGCTCTACTTTTGTGGTAGCTGGAATTAAACTCTGACTCCAAAACTTCAGCTAAAAATCCTGGCAATGGGGCTATAGCTCTGTTCTGTGGAAATGAGGAGTTTTACAAGTTAGTATATGAGGGTTTTTGCCTTAGAAGGAAATGAAGGACTGAAATGTTGGCCATTTCCATTTTGAGGATGCCATATTTATTACTGACTTTTTATTGTTGTTAATTATTTATGGCCTGATGATATTTTTACATCCTTGGAAAAATTCCTTTCCCACATAAAAAAATGCAACATAAGTGTTAAAGACATCTAATGAGTTTAATGAGTTGTAGGAGTACTTCACAGACTTCTCTCCACATTATGTAACAACAAAGCTTGCAAAAAAGAAAAATGAACTTCTTTTTAATTATGCAAAAATGAGTGAAATTGGCATTATTTATCAGGACCTAATGTAAAATGGTATATAATTGTGTTAAAAATTCTTCCTTCCTCCCAGTTAGAAACTGACATAATAGGGCAAGATTTAGAACCCAAGGTTTTCTTGGTTTGAAGCTTAATGGCTAAGATCAGTATCCTGGGGCTTGCTCAGTCCTGTACATTTGTTTTGCTTTGTGGCACCTCTCTATAGACAGAGGCTCAGTAGGTCTTCAGGATAAGCCCAGAGCTGGTCTAATGGCTAGTGAGCATGACACCTGGTATTTATTCTCATATCTGAGTTTAGGAATGTGCCAGGATCAGACAATTCTAGCTGAAAGTCTGATGATTTAGCTACTGGATTTAGTGCCGTGAATAGCCTAACTCCCAAATGGATGAAGCGAGCTTGGCCACCTATCTGGATTAGACTGTGTGCTAGGCCTGGAGGGGGACAGATTCTGTAAAACGTAGTCATCTTTTGCAACTCTGAACGTCGTGGTGAGGATTCTGGATTCTGGAATGCAAATCTCCATCCATCCTGGAAAATATCTCAAATCTTTACCTGGGTGTCCAGGTGATGCTGATTTCTTTCTGTATCCTTCAAATAAACCAATCTCATTTGATTTACTCCAACAGAATCTGTACCTGCTTGCCAGCAGCCTGAACCTTCTCTAGGTCAGGCCGCATCTGGGTCAGCTCTGACTAAATAGCAGCTTTCCCCTCCCTTCTTACCTGCTTCCTGTGCATTGGCCTGCCTATGCCCAGAAACTCTAGCTTTCTGGAAGAGGACTCTGACCCTCTGCCCAGGTCTTGCCCATCTGTTCCTCCAGAGAGCAGTCCCTGGATTTCTACACTCTTCAGCTGATGGCTAGGTTTGGATGTCAGAGAATGACTGCCAGAATCACCAGGATACTTACCTGATTTCCAGGATCATGGTCTCTTGGACCCCTTATGCCATCTCCTACTGGTCAGGTGGGCCTCTCCAGACATCAGAATCAAAGGAGCCATCTTAGAATTCAGAATGTTAGCACAATCTACTGTCAAGTGCCTGACAGCCTTCAGACAGGCAGGCCTGTGGGTCAGCTGTCAGACCCTCCCTTTCTGCTTCAGGAAGTCCTTCTCTTCAGGCTCTGCCACCAAGGTTTCAGCATACCTCATACCTGAGCCCACCTGAACTACGACAGCCCAGCGAGTCGGTCACTCCAGGCTTCACTTGGTCTCCTCATTTCAAGAGAGAAAATGGATTGTTGATTTTTTGTTCTAACTCTAACCACTGACTCTTCTTTTAAAGTCCCATCGACATCTAATATTATATTTTGTTATGTATATAACTGTGTCATCCTTTGTCACTCCATGCTGATAGCCTCCATGTTCTCTTTTCACTTATGTGGCTTCTACAGTGGACTTGAACATTTTCATTTTCTTTTCAATGAGATCATAGGATAATCACTATTTTATCTTACTAATTTTTGAAAAAAATATTTCCTACTAATTTCTATGAAAAAAGTTTTTAGAGAGAAGAAGTCTAGCTGCTAGTTTACTTCCTTTACCATCTTTTCTCTGTTCCATCTGGCCTTTGGGTTGTATTTGCCTGAATCCCTTCCAAAACATCGTTGTTCGCCAGATAGTCCTCAAGTTCAATTTTGTCAACTGATTTTAATTTCAAATAATGTTCTGAATCTTTTTAGCTCCCTTTGGTTGCCTTTTTTCAGTCTTTACTGTTTTCTGTATTATTTTCAGATTGGAGATTTTTGTCAGCAAATTGTTGCATGTCTTCTAAGTCTCAAAATAGTCTTCTCTATTTAGGACAGTGGTTTTCAGCTCTTAGTGATTGTAGCTCATTTTGTAAAACATTTTATAAAACATTCGTGATCTGTCACTTGAGGGGATTTAGAAAATCAAGGCAATGGCAGCCACATCAGCAAGAGTTGTAAAGCATCACTGCTATAGTAGAAGGGCATCAGTGCCAGGGTGTGAATCATGTGGTCATGCTTCTGAGCTGGTTCCCATGTGGGTGGGGCAGTCCAGTGAATCTAAGAGCCCAGAGTTCTTACAGCTTCCCATAAATATGCAGCCTTCTTTGGTGAAGGCTTAACTTGCTACTCTTAACCTTAGATTCATGGGAGGTAGTACCCCTCTCAGCTCAACATCCCTTCTGCCCAACATTGTTGTTGCTGCAGGCATATTTAGCTATTGCTACAATGAATTTTACACACCAGATAGGAAATGGTTCACAAGAAATGTGCTATGCACGCAGTCAAGAACCTCTGCTTTAAAAGGAAAAACAAGCTTGGCCAGATACTGAGTAAATAGTGATTGTTTGCAGCTTCTGCAGATGTTCCTTCCAAGCCCATCTCTGCTATTAAATCTCTGGCCACAGGTCTTAAGTCACTGCCATCTCTCCTTTTCTTCTTGAAAAATGTATAGGAATCAGTCATTATCAATGAGCGAAACAAACCCAGTCAAACCCAGTGCAGGTTTTGGAGGAAGAAGTTACAATTATGGAAAAGGGGAGGTGATGAATAGAATGTACCCTATAGTGTTGGGATAGAATTGAGGTTGGAGGGATCAGTATGTAATTAGAGTGTGGGTACACATGTGTGTCCATGTTCCTGTGTGTCCATGTAAGTGTGTACATGCAAATATGCACTCATTTGTGTACATGTGTGCTAGCTCTGCCCTCTAACAGTGCCTAGAAGTGATGATACACTAGCAGCAAACATACTTGGTACCCAGATTTTGGTCTGTACAAAAAGAAACTATGGCTCCTTGGAAAAAAGTCTGATTCCCTGGTTAGGACATAGAAAGCACAAGGTGAGTTTGGAATATCTTGCACCAGAAAGTAAAGACGTGCTCAAAGAATGATGGACATATGTGAAATGGATATAGTGGCTAGGTTGAACCACCTCTTGCTCACCCAATCAGGGGCAATTTGAGTACTAAAACAAGATAATAACAGATTATGGAACAAAATAAAATCCCATAAGTTTGTACTAATATAAATTAATAAATTAATTAAGGGACAAGAGGAAGCCCTTCTTATAGTACATCAAAATTAACATCACCAATATTGGGACAAATCAGTATCATATGCCTCCTGATCCAACCCACAGAGAAAGACACAGCATTGGTCACTTCTGTGGTATTTTCCCCCCAAATCCATGACCTCGATCAGGAGGAAACACCGGATGAACCTAAACTGAGAGACATTCTAAAAATAGTTGACTTGTATTTAAGGTCAAGAAAGATAAAGAAAGGCAGAAGGAGTGTTCCAGACTGAAAGAGGTTAAAGAGGCATCACGACTACTGTGACGTGTGGTCCTGGATTAGATCCAGAATTAGGGAGAAAATGCTGAAAAAAGACATCGTTGGGACAATTGACAGAATTTGAATATGGACTGAGTATTAGGTAAAATTTCCTGATTTTAATAATTGTTCTGTAATTATGTTGTATTTTAGGAAGGTATGTAGGAGAGTGTTGCTCTTAGGAAACACATACATACTGAAGAATTTTGGCATAAAGGGACATAATGTCTCCAAATTGCTCTTAAATGCTTTTAGAAAAAATGCATATGGGTAGAAAGGGGGAATGACAAAGTAAATAGGGCAAAGTGTAAATAGCTGGTGAATCTGGGTAAAGGGGTATTCGGAAGGTCTTTGTACTACTCTTGCAACTTTACTATAAGTTTAAAATTATAAGAGAATAAATGAGTTAAAAAATAAGCAAAGCTAGTATCCAAATAAAACCATTTGATGAGTGGGGCCATTTTTTTTG